CTTTTCCATAGAAAATGTTGTTATCGAACAACTTTCTTTTAGAAAATGTTGTTATCGAACAACTTTTCTTTAGAAAATGTTGTTATCGAATAACTTTTCTATAGGAAATGTTGTTATCGAACAACTTTTCTATCGGAGATATTGTTATCGAACAATTTTTCTATTATTAATGAAACAACTTTTCTATAGAAAATGTTGTTATCGAACAACTTTTCTATAGAAGATGTTGTTATCGAACAACTTTTCCACAGAAAATGTTATTATCGAACAACTTTTCAATAGAAAATGTTGTTATCGAACAACTTTTCCATAGAAAATGTTGTAATCGAAAAACTTTTCTTTAGAAAATGTTGTTATCGAATAACTTTTCTATAGGAAATGTTGTTATCGAACAACTTTTCTATGGGAAATATTGTTATCGAACAATTTTTCTATAGGAAATGTTGTTATCGAACAACTTTTCTGTAGGAAATGTTATTATTGAAAAACTTTTCTATAGGAAATATTGTTATCGAACATCTTTCTTATAGGAAATGTTGTTATCGAACAACTTTTCTATAGGAAATGTTGTTATCGAACAACTTTTCTGTAGGAAATGTTATTATTGAAAAACTTTTCTATAGGAAATGTTGTTATCGAACAACTTTTCTATGGGAAATATTGTTATCGAACAACTTTCTTATAGGAAATGTTGTTATCGAACAACTTTTCTATAGGAAATGTTGTTATCGAACAACTTTTCTGTAGGAAATGTTATTATTGAAAAACTTTTCTATAGGAAATGTTGTTATCGAACAACTTCTCTATAGAAAATGTTGTTATCGAACAACTTTTCTATTGAAAATGTTGTTATCTAACAACTATTCTATAGACAATGTTGTTATCGAACAATTTTTCTATAAGAAATTTTGTTATCGAACAACTTTTCTATAGTAAATCTTCTCAACGAACATTTTTTCTTAACTTTCAAAGTTTTTTTTATAAAAAAATTTTCCAAACAAATCATTATTTTACGATAAGTGCTTCTTATCGAAAACTGGTTTATTCATTTAAAACCTCCATCGCGTATTAAACATAAACTCTGTCCTCACATGAAACGATGCAAAAATTACTCTCGATTATTTTTATATTTATGACTAAGCCATTTGGAAATCCAAAGATAGAGAGACGAACACGAACAACTTGATATAAATGAGAAAGTAGTGGGGGTGACGAGGCAGGGAATAGGAAACAATGTAATATTATGCGGGTTAAGAACGTAGCTACATTAAAAAACAGGAAGTTGTTACTAAAACAGCACAAGACAAACTTAAATACACAAAAAATAAATAAATATGTGTTTGAGTATGTATTGTCTCATCGATATCCCAACTTAAGTATTGCTTATATATACTTGTGTGTGTGTATATATGTTTGGTACATACCCAATATGTACGTCAATGTTCTTTAAACACGATAAAATGTCAGTACTTCGATGAGTAAGAATTATTGAGAAGCAAGTGAAGTAGTTCTTTTAGGTTGGCTGCCACTGGATGCTGATGGAGCAAAAATCTAATTTAATGTTTTTTTTTTCATGGAAGTCGAGGGGGAAAGTGGGAAGTGAGGTAAATACTAGAAGAGGTTAGATTGTTCTCGATAAGAAGGGCAGTGGGCTGATATGACAATAAATTCAATAAGGGCGTCGTCTGAATTTGGTCTCTTTCTACATTTTTTTTTATATTTTCTATAAAAAATTCGATGGGTAACAATAAATTCTATGGAAAATTCGACCGATATTTTTTTTTATAGAAAAGTTGTTCGATAACAACATTTTCTATAGAAAAGTTGTTTGATAACAACATTTTCCATAGAAAAGTTTTTCGATAGCAACATTTTCTATAGAAAAATCTTTCGATAACAATATTTTCTATAGAAAAATTTTGCGATAGCAATATTTTCTATACAAAATTTGTTCGATAACAATATTTTATATAGAAAATTTGTTCGATAACCATATTTTCTACAGATAATTCGACCGATAACCATATTTTCTTTAGAAAATTCGATCGATAACAACATTTTCTACAGAAAAGTTGTTCGATAGCAAAATTTTCCATAGAAAAGTTGTTCGATAACAACATTTTCTAGAGAAAATTTGTTCGATAACAACATTTTCTATAGAAAAGTTGTTCGATAACAACATTTTCCATAGAAAAGTTTTTCGATAGCAACATTTTCTATAGAAAAATCTTTCGATAACAATATTTTCTATAGAAAAATTTTGCGATAGCAATATTTTCTATACAAAATTTGTTCGATAACAATATTTTATATAGAAAATTTGTTCGATAACCATATTTTCTACAGATAATTCGACCGATAACCATATTTTCTTTAGAAAATTCGATCGATAACAACATTTTCTACAGAAAAGTTGTTCGATAGCAAAATTTTCCATAGAAAAGTTGTTCGATAACAACATTTTCTAGAGAAAATTTGTTCGATAACAACATTTTCTATAGAAAAGTTGTTCGATAACAACATTTTCCATAGAAAAGTTTTTCGATAGCAACATTTTCTATAGAAAAATCTTTCGATAACAATATTTTCTATAGAAAAATTTTGCGATAGCAATATTTTCTATACAAAATTTGTTCGATAACAATATTTTATATAGAAAATTTGTTCGATAACCATATTTTCTACAGAAAATTCGACCGATAACCATATTTTCTTTAGAAAATTCGATCGATAACAACATTTTCTACAGAAAAGTTGTTCGATAGCAAAATTTTCCATAGAAAAGTTGTTCGATAACAACATTTTCTAGAGAAAATTTGTTCGATAACAACATTTTCTAGAGAAAATTTGTTCGATAACAACATTTTCTAGAGAAAATTTGTTCGATAACAACATTTTCTATAGAAAAGTTGTTCGATAACAACATTTTCTATAGAAAAGTTGTTCGATAACAACATTTTCTATAGAAAAGTTGTTCGATAACAACATTTTCTATAGAAAAGTTGTTCGATAACAACATTTTCTATAGAAAAGTTGTTCGATAACAACATTTTCTATAGAAAAGTTGTTCGATAACAACATTTTCTATAGAAAAGTTGTTCGATAACTATATTTTTAATAGAAAATTTGTTCGATAACAATATTTTCTATTGGAAATTGGTTCGATAACTGCGTTTTCTACAGGAAATTGGTTCGATAACTGTATTTTCTATGGAAAATTGGTTCGATAACAGTATTTTCTATGGAAAATTGGTTCGATAACAATATTTCCTATAGATAACTCGATCGATAATACAATTTTCTATAGAAAATTCGATCGATAACAATAGTTTTTTATAGAAAAATTGATCGATAACAATATTTTCTACAGAAATTTGTTCGATAGAAAATAGAAAATTTGTTCGATAACATTATTTTCTTTGGATTATTCGATCGATAACAATAATTGCTATAGAAAATTTGTTAGATAACAGTATTTTTGTATATTTCGATAACTATATTTGCTATAGAAAATTTATTCGATAAAAATGTTTTCTATAGAAATTTGTTCGATAACAATATTTTCCGTAGTAAATTTGTTTCGATAACATTATTTTCCGTAGAAAATTTGTTCGGTAACATTATTTTCCGTAGAAAATTTGTTCGATAATAAATTTTTTCTGTAGAAAATATTTCGATAACAATGTTTTCTTTAGAACATATTTCGATATTTCAAAAACAAAAAATTTCTATAGAATATTCAATTAGAACTTTTGGCAATTTACCCTTCCTTCTTCTGTTTTATTCTAAGGTGGACTTTCAATTTCATTATAGACCCTTCCTAACCTCCCTCCAATCTGAAAATTTTCTTTAGAGTTCCACCACCACCACCAACAACAACAAAAAGAACAACTTGAGATAAATGCATTTTTAGAACAAAAGACTGCATTAAATTGAGATGATGAGGATGGATGGATGGATGATGATGCTGCTGCTGCTGCATCAGCATTCATTCCACTATCCATTTAAGAGGAGATAAAGAACTTTTTTTCTGTTGTTGTTGTGGTCGCTCTAAATTCAATGGAAAATGAAAGTGGTCGACGTTTGACGTTTTTGAGTCGGTGAAAGAAAGAACATCTTTGTTTCGAAAGATGATGACGACGATGACGACCAGATTTCCTTGGGCAAGTAGTTGAACAAACAACAACAAACAATAATATTTGCCAAGAAATGATGTCACTGCATCGCATTTCCACAGAGTTTTCCCTTCTCCATTCCCATTTTCCTTACCTTTTGTGTGTCGAAAACTAAACAGGGGCGTAGATGGAAGTTCCTTTTTTTTGCCTCAAGGACCTCTTTTTTATGTCATTGCATTATAATCTAAAACATAAATGTGGAGGTGGTGGTTGTCCCACTCAATGCGGTATCCTTTAGACCACCTCCCCCCCCAACCACCTCCACTCACCTATGTTACGAATGCACACCACCACCTCCATTCAATTGTTGCAATTGTAGCGAAAACAAAATCGTCACATGTGAAATTGTATATTTTTTTCGAGTACTTTTCGAATGGCAGTTGAAATTTTCTATGATTTTTTTTTCGCTCGGTTCTTTCTTTTTTTTTTGTTGTTTTTGTTTTCGCCCTCTATTATGAAGTGATGACCTAGTTTTTGGCATTGCTAAACGGCAACGACAACAACTACGGCGAATGTGAATGCGAATACAAATTGCAAAATCGTGTCGTTTTCAAACGTGGCGGAGGAGGGGCGATGGGCGGAAAAGCCCCGGCATAAAAGGGAAATGTTTGAATAGTTAAACAGCAGCAACAACAACAACATATTTAAATAACAGCCCCAGGACCCCCCTCACTCACTTCCCCGAGGGGGAAGAATGTGTAATAAAAACTAACTTTGTTTGCTTATCTCAGGCACAGCAGAAGAATATTTAAAGGATTTAAGGGATTATATTTTTCCAAAGAAAAAGAAAAATTAAATAATTTTTTCTCTTTTTCTTTCTTTTAGGCGCCCCTCAAACCTCTCAGTTGTTTGGACAAGACGTTCACGTCGTGTCGCCTCCGCCCCGCTGCCCTGGGAACCGGATATGATGAATCCGCTGGTCGGCAATGTCACCTGGCCCGTTCCCGATAATCACGCCATCACAGTAACACTGTTCAAGGATCCGCGTACCCATGAGTTGGAGGACAAGGATTGGACATTTGTTATAGAGGATGTAAGTAAAAACAAAAATATAAAATAAATATATTTTTCAAAAAAAAAAGTTCGATTAAAATATTATTTAAGCAAATGATGGTCGATAACAACATTTCCTACAGAAAAGTTGTTCGATAACAAAATTTTGTATAGAAAAGTTGTTCGATAACAACATTTTCTACAGAAAAGTTGTTCGATAACAACATTTTCCATAGAAAAGTTTATCGATAACAAACTTTTCTGTAGAAAAGTTAGTCGATAACAACTTTTTCCATAGAAATGTTGTTCGATAACAACCTTTTCCATAGAAAAGTTGTTCGATAACAACTTTTTCCATAGAAAAGTTGTTCGATAACTACATTTTCCATAAAAAAGTAGTTCGACAACAACATTTTCTATAGAAAAGTTGTTCGATAACAACTTTTTCCATAGAAAAGTTGTTCGATAACAACTTTTTCTATAGAAAAGTTGTTCGATAACAACAATTTCAATAGAAAAGTTGTTCGATAACAACAATTTCAATAGAAAAGTTGTTCGATAACAACCTTTTCTATAGAAAAGATGTTCGATAACAACCTTTTCTATAGAAAAGATGTTCGATAACAACTATTTCTATAGAAAAGTTGCTCGATAACAACTATTTCTATAGAAAATTTGCTCGATAACAACTATTTCTATAGAAAAGTTGCTCGATAACATCTATTTCTATAGAAAAGTTGTTCGATAACAACTATTTCTATAGAAAAGTTGTTCGATAACAACTATTTCTATAGAAAAGTTGTTCGATAACAACTATTTCTATAGAAAAGTTGTTCGATAACAACTATTTCTATAGAAAAATTTGTTCGATAACAACTATTTCTATAGAAAAATTTGTTCGATAACAACTATTTCTATAGAAAAGTTGTTCGATAACAACTTTTTCCATGGAAAAGTTGTTCGATAACAACTTTTTCCATGGAAAAGTTGTTCGATAACAACTTTTTCCATAGAAAAGTTGTTCGATAACCACTTTTTCCATAGAAAAGTTGTTCGATAACAACTTTTTCCATAGAAAAGTAGACCGATAAGAACATTTTCTATAGAAAAGTTGTTCGATAACAACATTTTCTAGAGAAAAGTTGTTCGGTAACAAAGTTGTTCGGTAACAACTTTTTCTATCGAAACGTTTTTTGATAACACAATTTGCTATGGAAAATTTGTTCGATAACAATCTTTTCTTTGAAAATTTGTCCGATAACACCATTGACTATTTCATAGGCGGGGTGTTTGGTCGGTTTTTCTTTTATTTTATTTTTTTATTTTTTCTGGTCTTTGTTCACTTTTTTTTTTCAAATTCAATTCGATTTTTTTCCCAATATTCCATTTCTAATGGCGACCTTTTTGTTGATTTTTTTTCTCTCTGTAGTGTGCGATAAGATTTCATTTGAGGGGCACTACGAAATGAAAGTGGAACCGTTGCGGTTAAAAATGTATTTTTCCACTTAAGCAATAATCCCTCTCCCCCTTTTGCTCCACCTCCCCCTACCCCTCAGCCATCGAAGGGAATTACCTAGCATTTACAGTCTGACCACAATAACCACCAACATATAAAATTTATAATGGTTTCTAACACGAGAACTTTTTTCCCCCCAACTCTTACTTTCTCTCTGCACCCGCAACCCATCTGATTCCTTATTATTTGTTGTTGTTGTTGTTTTCGATAAACATTAAAGGACGAAATTGAATACCTTCTCTGGGGTATCAGCTGCAGCGGTGGCAACAGCAACAACCAGGCATTGCGACGGCCTTGATGGAGCCATCACAATATCGAGGGGTTTTGAGTGTGTGTGTGAGAGTGCTTGGCTCCAACCACAATAACAATAACAACATTGTTGTTGTTATTGTTATTATAAGTTTTTTTGCAAGTACTTGTTTCTTTTCATTGATTTCCTCCGCCTTGAACTTTGTTTCGCCGAAATTCAAGATTTTTGCGAATACTTTTTTTCTCAATTTTTTATTCGCAGAATTTCCACAATTTGTGGAAATCCATTTCACTTTATTCACCGAAGATTTTTAATTGAATTAAACCCCAAACACCATTTGTTGCCAGACAGACAATCTGTCAGACACCAAACCAACAAAGCACCCCCAGACGAGGGACGACAGTGTGAGCTATAAATTTGACGCCTACATTTATTAATTTTGGCATGTCCGCCACTCACTTTTTTTTGCTTAATTTACATTTAGTAGAAGATGAAAAAAATTATAGGCAACGAGGAAGCACAGTGGTTGGAAACTTAAAACATATATTTTTTCAGAGAATAAAATTCGTCGAATATTTTTTTTCGTACAGAAAAATAATTCGTCGAATATTTTTTTTCGTATAGAAAAATAATTCGTCGAATATTTTTTTTCGTATAGAAAAATAATTCGTCGAATATTTTTTTTTCGTATAGAAAAATAATTCGTCGAATATTTTTTTTTTTCGTATAGAAAAATAATTCGTCGAATATTTTTTTTTTCGTATAGAAAAATAATTCGTCGAAATTTTTTTTTTCGTATAAAAAAATAATTCGTCGAATATTTTTTTTTCGTATAGAAAAATAATTCGTCCAATATTTTTTTTGTTCGTATAGAAAAATAATTCGTCGAATATTTTTTTTTTTCGTATAGAAAAATAATTCGTCCAATATTTTTTTTTTCGTATAGAAAAATAATTCGTCGAATATTTTTTTTCGTATAGAAAAATAATTCGTCAAATATTTTTTTTTTCGTATAGAAAAAAATTCGTCGAAAACTTTTTTTCGTATAGAAAAAAATTCGTCGAAAACTTTTTTTCGTATAGAAAAAAATTCGTCGAAAACTTTTTTTCGTATAGAAAAAAAATTCGTCGAATATTTTTTTTTCATTTATGTGTTTGATTTCTCTTTCTCTTTTTTCGTATAAAAAAAAATTCATCGAATATTTTTTTTTCGTATAGAAAAAAATTCGTCGAATATTTTTTTTTTGTCGTATAGAAAAAAATTCGTCGAATATTTTTTGTTCGTATGGAAAAAAATTCGTCGAATATTTTTTTTCGTATAGAAAATAACTCGTCGAATATTTTTTTTTCGTATAGAAAAAAATTCGTCGAATATTTTTTTTTCGTATAGAAAAAAATTCGTCGAATGTTTTTTTTTCGTATAGAAAAAAATTCGTCGAATGTTTTTTTTTCGTATAGAAAAAAATTCGTCGAATGTTTTTTTTTCGTATAGAAAAAAATTCGTCGAATGTTTTTTCGCATAGAAAAAAATCGTCGAAAAAAAATCGACGACATTTTTTCGTATAGAAAAAAATCGAAGAAATTTATTTTAATAGAAAAAAATCGTCGAACATATTTTTTTTTGTATAGAAGAAAAAAAAACTCGAACATATTTTTTGTATAGAAAAAAAATTGTCAAACATATTTGTATAGAAAAAAAATCGTCTAATATTTTTTTTCGGATAATAAAAAGTCGAAAAAATACCGAGGGAAAATTAGAACAAAAAATTAGGAATAATTTTGGGTTTTTTTTGAGTGTAATTTTTATAAAAACTATAGTTCTCAGATATATGGTTTATTCTGGGTCTAAAACGAAATTTGGGTTACTTGAACTCGTGAAAAGTCTAAGAAAAATTGATAAAACAATTAGGAAATATTTTTATTTTTTATTTTATTTTTTTTTTCGAAACATTGATATTTTTTCATGATATCTATAGAATATACAAATTTATTTTATTTCGAGACTCGTAATGAAATTTGATCTAGAGTAATTCTTTCTTTAACACTTACCCCAAAAAATGAATACTAAAGAGAGATTTTGTCTCGGATTGGAACGTGTTAATTGAACAGTAAAAAAGCAAACACATAATTTTCACTTGTAGTACATAAATTTCGAGTGTAATTTTTTATAAAAACTAGTGCCTCAAGATATACAGTTTATTTCGAGATTTGTAGTAAAATTTTGAATATTTCTTCCTTTGGCAACTTTCACCAAAAACGAAATTTTATGATACTTTTGGTCGAGAACTTGAAAAAAGCCAAAGTTAAAATTTATCAAAATAAAATTAGGAAATATTTTTGTTTTTTTATTCGAATGACATTTTCATAAAAACTATTGCCCAAATATGTATAGCTTATTCTGAGATTTATAGTAAAATGTTGTGTTGAATATTTCTTCTTTTGTTAATATCCGCTTAAAACGAAATTTTATGTTACTTTCAGGTCTGAAATCGAAAAAAGTCCGACGAAAAATTTATCACAAAATTCAGGAAGATTTTTGTGTTTTTTTTTTTCGAAAGTAATTTTTATAAAAACTACTTAACCCAGATATTTGGTTTATTATGAGATTTATAGTGAAATTTTGTGTAGAATATTTCTTCTTCTGACCACCTCCGCAAAAACGAAATTTTATGTTACCTTTCGGCGTTAACTCACGAAAAGTCCGAGGAAAGATTGATAAAAAATTAGGGAAAATGTTTGTGTTTATTTTTTCGAATGTTATTTTTATAAAAACTACTTAACTTAGATATTTGGTTTATTCTGAGATCTATAGTGTTGTTTTGTGTAGAATATTTCTTCCTTTAACAACATTCGTCTAAAATGAAATGTTGTGCTACTTTCTGGCGTAAACTCGAAAAAAGTCCGAGAAAAAAATAATCAGAAAAATATGGACACATTTTTTGCGGTTTTTTTGGCCAACATTGATGCAAATATTTTCCCGATATATAATGGATATGGAGACTTCTTTTCTTTGGTGACTTATAGTGAAATTTGATGAAGAATATTTTTGTCTTTAATGTCATCCTTCTACTATGACGATTTGTTGGAGATTTTTGCCCAAACTCACACAGAGCACGGCTTTAACCCTAAAATTCCACTATGGTATATATGAATTCCTGGCGTTTAGTTAAGATTTAGACTTTTGATGTTCTCTAGGAACTATAGTAGAATCTTATGAGGATTACTTTTGTAGAGCATTTTGACTTGCTACGATGTAGTTAAAAACGAGTTTTTCACCATATCTTGAAAAAAAAGGACCGAAAATATCCATTTGTTGACTCGTTTGGGGGGTTAAAATATCCGATTAAAATATTCGACGTACTTTGCTCTGCAATATTGCCAAAGACAAATAAAAAATCTGTAAGTTCGGACGAGCAGAACTTTGAATACCCTCCACCATTTGGAACGAATTCGGCAATTTTCAAAAAAAAAAAAAAATAAATAAATAAAATCCGTTAAAAATTCTGTTAAAATCTTCAAAATACAGAATGTAGTCGTTATATAAGGTCCTATACGACGACGTGGACCTGCATAGGCAACTTTTGTCATAAGCCATTACAATATTCAAATGCGAAACTTAAAAAAAAAAATGGGTGAATAATGTCGCTAAAATCATCAAAATGCCGAATATCGGGAGGTACCATTATATGGGGGCTATACGAAGGCGTGGATTTGCACAGACAATTTCTGTCATAAGCTGCAGTATCCATTACGAACTTCAAATACCAAATTTGAAACAATTCCGGTGAATAATGTCGCTAAAATCATCAAAATACCGAATATCTGGAGGTGCCGTTATATGTGGGCTATACGAAGGCGTGGATCTGCACAGACAAGTTTCTGTCATAGGCTGTAGTATCCTTTACGAACTTCAAATACCAAATTTGAAATAATTCTGGTGAATAAAGTCGCCAAAATCATCATCGTTATATGTGGGCTATACGAAGACGTGGATCTGCACAGACAAGTTTCTGTCATAAGGCTGTAGTATCTTTTACGAACTTCAAATACCAAATTTGAAACAATTCCGCTGAATAATGTCGCTTAAGTCATCAAAATACTGAAAATAGGGAGATACCATTATATGGGGGGCTATACGAAGATGTGGATCTGCACAGACAATTGTCTTAGGCTGTAGTATCCGTTACGAGCTTCAAATACCAAATTTTAAACAGCTCCAGTGAATAATGTCGCTAAAATCATCAAAATACCGAATATCGGGAGGTGCCGTTATATGGGGGCTATACGAATGCGTGGATCTGCACAGACAATTTTCTGTCATAGGCTGTAGTATCCTTTACGAACTTCAAATACCAAATTTGAAACAATTCCGGTAAATAATGTCGCTAAAATCATCAAAATACCGAATATGGGGAGGTACCATTTATGAGGGCAATACGAAGATGTGGATCTACACAGGCAATTTTCTGTCATAGGCTGTAGTATTCATTACGAACTTCAAATACCAAATTTGAAACAGTTCCGGTGAATAATGTCGCTAAAATCATCAAAATACTGAAATTAGGGAGGTACCATTATATGGGGGCTATACGAATGCGTGGACCTGCACATACAATTGTCTGTCTTAGGCTGTAGTATCCATTACGAACTTCAAATACCAAATTTGAAACAATTCCGGTGAATAAAGTCGCTAAAATCATCAAAATACCGAATATCGGGAGGTGCCGTTATATGGGAATTATACGAAGGCGTGTACGGCTCATTTTCAATACCAAAAGGCCTGCAGACATAACATACATTTGAGTAAAATTTTATCAACGTACTTCATTTTGTTCGGAAGCTAGAGTGATTTCCACAGACGGACGGGCATCGCTAAATCGCCATAGAATTTTATGTTGATCAAGAATATATGCATGTTTCGAGATGTTACAAACGGAATGACAAACTTTAAATACCCTTCATACTTCTCTTTTATCTCTACTTTAATAATCTGCAGAATTTTCCGCATATTTATTGAAAAAAAAGTGAACTTGATTATGAAAGTAGGGCCAAAGAAATGTTTTTACATCGCAGAGAAACGAAAGCAGAGGGAGCAAATTCCCCCCCTCTTTTGAAAATTTTCGGATTAAGATTCCTCGGAATTTTCGCTATTATAGATGTCTCGTTTTTTCACAAATTTTTCCAATTTTTCCTTTGAATTTTCAAGATTCTCTCTTTTGAAAATTTTCGGATTAAGATTCCTCGGAATTTTCGCTATTTTAGATGTGTCGTTTTTTCACAAATTTTTCCAATTTTTCCTCTGAATTTTCAAGATTCCCCTCTTCTGAAAATTTTCGGATTAAGATTCCTTGGAATTTTTTAGATGTGTCGTTTTTTCACAAATTTTTCCAATTTTTCCTTTGAATTTTCAAGACCCCCTCATTAAAAAAAATTATTTTCAATTTCTTTTTTTGTGATTATTATTTTTTTTCGGAATTTTTCAATTTTTCTTTAAATTAATTTTTCATCGGCCCCACCGGAACAGTTGGTGGTAATGATGGTGATGGTGACTGTGATGCTGGAACATGATTTGCACATAAAAGCCATTTAAACGTTTCTCGTTTTGTTTGAAGCTAAATGGAAAAATATTGCAGCAGACACCTACACTCCATCTGCAGCAATCATGCTCCAACACTTGCCGCAGATTTGACTGCAAAATTCACTGCAGATTTTCTTCAATGAAAATGAAAGCATTTTTGGGAGCATTAATTTTCTTGCAGGAGGAGAATGGAAACTGGATTGGAGGAGATTTTTTTTATTTATTTTTTTTCCAAAAAGGAAAGGCTTTTTTGGCCAGGAAATACAGTGGGAGGGAGGTGTAGAGTGAAGGAAAGCCTTTTCAGTCAGTGGAAGGGAGGTTTATAGGGCTTTATTGCGACGACTTTTACTTTAGGATTTTTTTTTACTTTACTTTATTTTTTTTAATTTAATTTCCATTTTTATTTGATCTTTCTAAATTTTGCGAGCTTTTATTAATTTTTTAAGATTTTTTTAATTTTTCCAAAAAATTTTTAAATTTTTTTAAAAATTTTATTTCCACTTTTTATATCCTCCACAGATAACTCCCTTGGGCAAAATACGTGTCCTGGCCAATGCCAATATAAATATGCGCAAATATGCCAGTATTGAGTCAAATTTTCTTCAATGAAAATGAAAGCATTTTCGGGAGCATTAATTTTCTTGAAGGAGGAGAATGGAAACTGGATAGGAGGAAATTTTTTTATTTATTTAAAAAAAAAGTCCTCTTAGACAGGAAACTCAGTGGAGACAAGCCTTTTCAGTCAGTAGATGGGAGGTTTATAGGGTTTTATTGTGACGACTTTTACTTTAGGATTTTTTTCTCTACTTTATTTTCAAAAAAAAATTTTTTTGAAATTTAATTTCCCATTTTTTTTTTGATTTCCTAAGTTTTGCGAGCTTTTAATAAATTTTTATGATTTTTTTAATTTTTCCAAAAAAGGCTATAATTTTTTTTTAAAATTTTATTTCCAATTTTTATATCCTCCACAGATAACTCCCTTGGGCAAAAAACGTGTCCTGGCCAATGCCAATATCAATATGCGCAAATATGCCAGTATTGAGTCAAATTTTCTTCAATGAAAATGAAAGCATTTTCGGGAGCATTAATTTTCTTGAAGGAGGAGAATGGAAACTGGATAGGAGGAAATTTTTTTATTTATCTAAAAAAAAAGTCCTCTTAGACAGGAAACTCAGTGGAGACAAGCCTTTTCAGTCAGTAGATGGGAGGTTTATAGGGTTTTATTGTGACGACTTTTACTTTAGGATTTTTTTCTCTACTTTATTTTCAAAAAAAAAAATTTTTTTGAAATTTAATTTCCCATTTTTTTTTTGATTTCCTAAGTTTTGCGAGCTTTTAATAAATTTTTATGATTTTTTTAATTTTTTCAAAAAAGGCTATAAATTTTTTTTAAAATTTTATTTCCAATTTTTATATCCTCCACAGATAACTCCCTTGGGCAAAAAACGTGTCCTGGCCAATGCCAATATCAATATGCGCAAATATGCCAGTATCGAGTCGACACAACAGAGTTTTACGCTGACCCTCAAACCGGTGTCGCGTAAAGTCACCTCCGCCGAATTGGAATTGACCATCAGCTGTGTGTTCCTCAGGGAGGGTAAAGCCACGTAAGTAGCCATAATAGCTTATGATTTTTTTTTTTGAATTATTAAATTTTTACCATTCTTTTTCTCCCCAAGGGACGAGGACATGCAAAGTGTTGTCTCTCTGATGTCGGTGAACAACAACTGTGATGTCGCCCCACTGGATGATCTCGAAGATATCCCTGACTTGGAAAATTCGGCCGATATCTCGGATCATTTGTATGATTTTACACAGCAGCTGGAACAGATGACAACCAGTTTGAATGGTTGCATGGATCTGCCAACGCCATTGAGTGGTGAGTTGTTTCCACCGGCTAGCCGTTGTGGTGGTGTTGGCCATAATTCTTTTTGTGATTTTACGTCTTTATAACCTCCACCATGAAATGAGGGAAATTTGCCAAATTCACGAAATATAGAAGTGGAAAATATATAATCTTGATCAGTCGACACCCGACGATCTGTCTGTCCGTCTTTTGTAAGTAAACTGACTGAGCATCAACGTCCAAAACGAAACGGCTGAAGCTAGAATTCTGAAATTTTGCACGAGGCTCAGTCTTGGTTTCTTCAGAAGGTTTCTGCACCTGATTTCCAACCAAAAATAATGTAGGTCCACTTTTATTATAGGCCCCATTTTCAAGGTTTTAAAGTATTCAGCCCCAAATTTCCAACCAAATTTGTTGAAAATTGATAGTTTGGTTTCTCGGGGGGGTAGTTTAACTTCTCTCAACAAAAAAAAAAAAAAAAAAAAAAAATATCAATGAAGGCCCCCTATTTGGTAAGGGTCCCATATAATTGTACCTCAGATTTTCGTTATTTTGAGGGTTTCGTCCAAAATTTTCAAACAAATTAGCTGCAATTTGGTATTTAGGTTTCTCAGTGGGTACATTAACCCCTTCCAAAAAATATTCAATATAGGCCCATTATTTGGTACCATTGGAGGGTACTTCCTGATTTTCGGTATTTGGAGATCTTTACTCCTAGTTTCAAACCAAATTAGCTGTAATTTGGTATTTAGGTTTCTCAGTGGGGTTATTAACTCCTCGCAAAAAATATTCCATTTCGGTCCACTTTTTGGTGTGGGCCCCATTGGAAGGTACCTCCTGATTTTGGCTTTTTTAGGGTTTTATCACCAAATTTCCAACAAAAGCTGTAATTTGTTATTTAGGGTTCCTAGTGGGTAGTTTAACTCCTCGCATATTTCATTTGAGTCCATTTTTTTGGTATAGTCCCCATTGGAGGGTACCTCCCGATTTTGGGTATTTGAAGGTTTCGACGCCTAATATTTAACCAAATCAGCTGTAATTTGGTATTTAGGGTTCTCAGTAGGCTTTTTAACTCCTCACAAAAAATATTACATTTCGGTCCACTTTTTACTCTAGGTTCCACGAGGGGTACTTCCTAATTTTCGGGTTTTTGAAGGTTTCTACCCCTACTTTCCAACCAAATTTGCTGTAATTTGGTATTTAGGGTTCTCAGTGTGTAGATTAACTCCTCACAAAAAATAATTTGTTTAGGTCCACATTTGGGTATAGGCCCCATTGGAGGATACCTCCCAATTTTCGGTTTTTGAAGGTTTCTACCCCTGTTTTCCAACCAAATTAGCTGTAATTTGGTATTTAGGGTTGCTCAGTGGGCTTATTAACTCCATGCAAAAAAATATTCCATTTCGGTCCACTTTTGTAGGCCCCATTGGAAGGTACCTCCTAATTTTCGGGTTTTCTAGGGTTACAGCATTAAATTTTCAACTAAATCTGTTAAAATTTGATATTTCAAGTTATTTGTAGGTAGTTTAATACCTCGCAAAAAATAGTTTAGTTAGTCCCAGTTTTTGGTATATGCCCCCATATAAGGGTATAGGCCCCATTGGAGGATACCTCCTGCTGTTCGATATTTGGAGGTTTCTACGCCTAATATTCAACCAAATCAACTGTAATTTGGTATTTAGGGTTCTCAGTGGGTGTATTGACTCCTCAACAAAAATAATAAGAGTAGGTCCACTTTTTGGTATAGGCGCCATTAGAGGGTTACTCCTGATTTTCGGGATTTGGAGGTCTCTACCCCTAATTTTCAACCGAATTAGCTGTAATTTGATATTTCGGCTTTACAGCGGATATTTTAACTCCTCACAAAAAATAATTAGTGTAGGTCCACTTTTGGGTATAGGCCCCATTGAAAGGTACCACCTGATTTTCGGTATTTTAAAGGTTTCTACCCCTAATTTTCTACCAAATTAGGTGTAATTTGGTATTTAGGTCTCTCAGTGGGGTTATTAACTCCTAGCAAAAAAATATTACATTTCGGTTCACTTTTTACACTAGGTTCCACGAGGGGTACTTCCTAATTTTCGGGTTTTTGAAGGTTTCTACCCCTACTTTCCAACCAAATTTGCTATAATTTGGTATTTAGGGTTGCTCAGTGGGCTTATTAACTCCTCGCAAAAAATATTCCATTTCGGTCCACTTTTTGGTGTAGGCCCCATTGGAAGGTACCTCCTGATTTTAGGGTTTTTGAGGGTTTCAGCTCTAAATTTTCAACCAAATCTGTTAAAATTTGATATTTCATACTTCTTGTAGGTAGTTTAACACCTTGCAAAAAAATAGTTAATTTAGTCCCAGTTTTTGGTATAGGCCCCATATAAGGGTACCTCAAGATTTTTGGATTTTTTATGATTTCCACCTTTAGTTTCGAACCGAATCACCAGTAATATGCTATTTAGGGTTCCCAGGATGTAGTTTAACTCATTGCCAAAAATATTCATTGTAGGTCCACTTTTTGGTATAGGCCCCATTGGAAGGTACCTCCTGATTTTCGCTTTTTTAGGGTTTTACCACCAAATTTCGAACCAAATAAGCTGTAATTTATTATTTAGGGTTCCTAGTGGGTAATTTAACTCCTCGCAAAAAATATTTCATTTGAGTCCACTTTTTGGTATAGGCCTTCTGATTTTCGGGCGTTTTTTGTGGGTTTCGACCAAAATTTTCAAACAATGTAGACTCTCTGTGGGTTATTAACTCCTCCCAAAAATATATTTAAGGTAAGTCCTCTGTTGGGTATAGACCCCACTTAGGGGTACCTCCTAATTTTAGGTTTTTAAAGGACTCAGCCCCAAATTTCCAATCAAATAAGCTGTAATTTAAAATTTTCTCTTCCCAGAGAGTATTTTATTTATATTAAATAAAGTTTAAGGAATCCTGAGAATAACTGATTTGTCCATGGTGGAGACTATAAAAAAGGTTCGGCCTAGCCGAACTTAACTTCATTTGTACTTGTTCGTTTATTTTTCGCCTCATAACTATCATCATTGTTATAAAGTTGTTTTTGTAGTTTTGTTGTAAACATTACATAGTTAAATATAGACATACAAATATTTATTATAGATTAGAATACAAAAAATTTATATAATATTTAGATTTTTAGATTTGAAAATGAAATTGTGTCTGGAAAATAGAAATAATTTTGATTTTCTGAAAAAAATATAATTTTGATTTATTTTTCTTGAAAAAAATATTTTTTAATTTTTTTCTAAAAAAAAAAAAAATAATTTTATTGTTTTTCTGAAAAAAAATAATTTTGATTTATTTTCTGAAAAAAAATTATTTTGATTTTTTTTTCTGAAAAAATAATAATTTTAATTTTTTTTCTGAAAAAAAATAATTTTAATTTTTTTTCTGAAAAAAAAAAAAAATATTTTTGATTTATTTTTTCTAAAAAAAAAAAAAATTATTTTAATTTTTTTTTTTGAAAAAAAAAAATAATTTTAGTTTTTTCTAATGGCCTGTTTCTCGATGTCAAAGGAAAATCAATGGGAAGAGATTGGGGTACACCCATGTGGGGTTTTCAAAATCAAAATTTAAAAGCTCCATCGAATTGGGGGGTTTCCTTCGGCAATCATTTTCTTTTCATATTTTGAAACAGGCCATAAAAAGAGACCTACCTGTAATTTTCTTCCCTTCCAGACACAATTTGGATTTTCGTTTTGTTTGAGTCTTTCAATTTAGTTTAGAGTCCTAGTCTCAACTAAATGTAGTCCCATTTTCAGTCATTTGTTTTGTTGTCATCCGTTTCTTTTCATTCATTCGTCCATCATTCATTCAATCATCCATTCCTTGCCATTGCATCCATCAATCATTCATTCAATAATAACCAATAATGTTTAACTGTTACCAAACAATTTTTATAAATTTGTTTTATTGTACAATTATTCTACTCTTTTTTTCTTCTTTATTCCGCAAAAAAAAAAAAAAAAAAACTGAAACGAAACAACAAATCAAAATCCTATAACAAAACAAAATCAAAACAATCTGGCCTTTCATCATTTTGCAAAAAAAAAAAAACAAAACAAAAAAACATAAAACGAACATACACACATCGACCACTAAAAAACAAAAACCAAAAACAACAAAAAAATAATTCCGATATCTCACATTGTGTGTATGTCCCCGTTCCGCCCTCTTCTTTTTTATTGTGTTCTCTACTAATGTATATTAAATACATCATCATGTGTATAAATGTTGAAACTGTTATACTCTTTGAAAAACCCCAAAATACAAATATTAAACAAAACCCTACATTCCAACCCAATTCGACCTCTAACCCCCCGTCCCCGCCCATGTAAATGTTGTGTTGTGTGTGTGTGTTTTCTTGTGCCGTAGTACCTTCTTTGTCCGAAGATCCCACTCCATTGGCCGAGGTTAATAATCTAAATTTTGAATTTGAATCAGACAAACAGCCCCCCTTTACACCGCCACCGGGTGATGGTGATTTTATGGAGGACTCTCTGAAGACACCCAGTGCTAGCCAGGCACCACAGGCCTCATCAGCAACAGCAACGGCTGCCGCTGCATCACTGCCCACGACAACATCATCTTCGTCATCATCCTCAAGAGATCAAGTTCCTAGTTCCCATGACACGGAAATGGCCAAGAAGGAGCCCAATCGGCTAATGCGTATTGTGACCTCAACACCCATTGCCAAGGTGTTTGATCAAAAGAAATCCACGGAAAAGGCCAATGAGGAACCCATCAAACCGGCCCGGAAAAATTTGAAATTCCCCTCAACATCAAACTCTCAAGAGGACCCCAAGGAGTCGTTAGAAACAACCAAAGAACACAACAAGTCCGACAAGAAGGAAGACTCCAACAATACCCTGGAAGAGCTATCCTTTGATAGCCATAGGATTGCAGAGTCCACAAAAATTTCGGACAGCACAATTACCGCCACAGAGGGTAAGGGAGAAGGAGGAGGCGTGGAGGTGAGCTCCGAAAAAGAGAGCAACAATGAAAGCAAGGACAACTTTTCGGCCAAACTAAATGAACTGGATATCTCGTCGGCATCGTTCAAAAACGAAAACCACAAAAGACCTGAATTGCAGCCGCTGAATCTGAAGAAATCCTATGAATCCATTGAACCCACACCAAACGCAAACAACAACACATCCACAAAAACCTCTGGCAGTGAGACGAACAGCAGCAGCGATAAGGCACCACCCTCGTCAAACAATTCCAATGGCCATTTGTCCCATGGCCACAATGGCATTGGCAATAACTCCCTTAAGCCGGTCGAGAAAATCATACTCAAGGAGAACACCCCCGGCCAGGACCTCCTGGAATGGTGCAAAGAAGTTACCAAAGAATATCCCAATGTTAAGGTCACCAATCTCACCACCAGCTGGCGTAATGGCATGGCTTTTTGTGCCATCATCCATCATTTTGAGCCATCGATAATGTGAGTATGACGAAAAAAAAATTACCGTAACAATTTGTTTGGATAAATTGGATTACATTTTTAATTGATTTTTTATGAAAATATATTGCTTTCTGGTTGTTCGGAAAATGTGGTTTAATCCGCATATCGTTTCAGTTTATCTGCAAATCACGGATAAAATTTTTAAGCTATCCGTATGTTAGGGGTAACATTTTTATGTTATCCGGATATCGTGGATAATGTTTTCAGGTTATCCGCATATACGGATTACATTTTTATGCTATCCGTAGGTTATGGATAATATTTTAAAATTATCCGGATAATGCGGATAACGTTTTCTGGATATCCCCATATCTCGGATAAGATTTTTATGCTATCCATAGGTGGATGGATAACAATTTTATGTTATCCGAATATCGTGGATAACGTTTTTAGGTTATCCGCATATATCGGATAACATTTTTATGTTATCCGGATATCGTGAATAACGTTTTTAGGTTATCCGCATATAACGGATAACATTTTTATGCTATCCATAGGTTATGGATAACAATTTAATGTTATCCGGATATCGTGGATATTATCCGCGTATCACGGATAACATTTTTATGAAATCTGTAGGTCGTGGATAAGATTTTTATGTTATCCGAATATAGCGGATAACGTTTTCAGGTTATCCGGATATCGTGGATAACGTTTTCAGGTTATCCGCATGTAACGGATAACATTTAATGCTATCCATAGATTATGGATAACAATTTAATGTTATCCGGATATCGTGGATATTATCCGCGTATCACGGATAACATATTTATGAAATCTGTAGGTCGTGGATAACATTTTTATGTTATCCGGATATAGTTGATAACGTTTTCAGGTTATCCGGATATCGTGGATAACGTTTTCAGGTTATCCGCATTTAACGGATAATATTTTTATGCTATCTACAGGCTATGGATAACAGTTTTACGTCATCCGAAAGTCGTGGATAATGTTTTCAGGCTATCCGCATACAATGGAAAATATTTTTATGCTATCCGTAGGTTACGGATAACATTTCTACCTTATCCGGATAACATTTTCGGGATATCCACATGTCACGGATAACATTTTTATGCTTTCTGTAGATCATGAATGACATTTGTATGTTATCCGGACAACATTTTCACATTAAGCGGATGCTTCGGATAATAATTAAGCGTTATCCGGCTTCTACGAATGGTGTTAATGCTGTTTCCTTTTTGGATGGCATGGATAACCTAAATAAACAATTTGGGATATTATTTCCATCTCTCCGGATAACGTGGATAGCTTTTCTATCTTATCCAGGATAAAGTAAATAACAGTTTTACCTTATCCGGATAATGTAAATAACATTTTCAGTTTATCCGGATACCATGGATAACATTTACACCTTATCCGAATAACACGGATAAAGAAATCGACCTTATCCGGATGACGCGAGCAACATTTCAACCTTATCCGGATAACATGGATAATATTTTTACCTTATCCCGATAACCTGGATAACATTTTTCACATAATCCGGATAAAATTTTCTCCTTGTTCGGGTAACGTAGAAAAAATTTAAACTTTAACCGTTTAACATGGATAATATTTTCAACTTATCCGGATAATAAGGACAACATTTTCCCTTATCAGATAAGACGAATGACATTTTAACCTTATCCGGATGACGTGGATAACACTTTAACACTATCCGAATAATATGGATAACACTTTCACCTTGTCCGGATAACGCGGATAAAATTTCAAACTTTCCCGCACAACATTCATATAATTTTCACCTTATCTGGGTAACGTGGATAAAATTTTCAGCATATTCGGATGACTCGCATAATATTTTCACCTTATCCGGATAATATAGATAACATTTCCCCTTATCCGGATAACACAAACAACATTTTCTCCTTATCCAGATAACACGAATGACATTTTAACCTTATCCGGATGACGTGGATAACATTTTTACACTATTCGGATAACATGGATAACACTTTCACCTTGTCCGGATAACGCGGATAAAATTTCAAACTTATCCCGACAACATTCATATAATTTTCACCTTATCTGGGTAACGTGGATAACATTTGAATATTATCCGGATAACATTTTCAGCTTATCCGGATGACTCGCATAATATTTTCACCTTATCCGGATAATATGGATAACATTTCCCCTTATGCGGATAACACAAACAACATTTTCTCCTTATACAGATAACATGGATAACACTTTTACCTTATCCGGATGACGTGGATAACACTTTAACACTATCCGAATAATATGGATAACACTTTCACCTTGTTCGGATAAGTGGATAAAATTTCAAACTTTCCGGACAACATTCATATAATTTTCACCTTATCTGGGTGACGTGGAAAACATTTAAATATTATCCGGATAACATTTTCAGCTTATCCGGATGACTCGCATAATATTTTTACCTTATCCCGATAATATGGATAAGATTTACCCTTATCGGGATAACAAACAACATTTTCTCCTTATCCAGATAACGTGGTTAACATTTTTACCTTATACGGATGACGTGGATAACATTTTTACACTATTTGGATAACATGGATAACACTTTCACCTTGTCCGGATAACGCGGATAAAATTTCAAACTTATCCCGACAACATTCATATAATTTTCACCTTATCTGGGTAACGTGGATAATATTTAAATATTATCCGGATAACATTTTCAGCTTATCCGGATGGCTCGCATAATATTTTCACCTTATCCGGATAATATGGATAACATTTCCCCTTATGCGGATAACACAAACAACATTTTCTCCTTATCCAGATAACTTGGGTAACATTTTTACACTACCAAAATAACGTGGATAACACTTTCACCTTGTCCGGATAACGTGGATAAAATTTCAATCTTATCCGGATAAGGTGGATAACATTTACACCTTTTCCGCATGACTCGGATAACATATTTCTCTTATCCGGATAACGTGGATAACATTTTCATTCCGGATGACTCGGATAACATATTTCTCTTATCCGGATAACGTGGATAACATTTTTACCTTATCCGGATAACGTGGATAACATTTTTACCTTATCCGGATCACATGGATAACATTGTAACCTTATCCGGATAATATGGATTATGTTTTCGCCTTCTCCGGATAACGTGGATAAGATGTTTATATATCCGGATAATATATATAACATTTTAGCCTTATCCGGAAAACATGGATTATATTTTCCCTTTTATTCGGATCACATGGATAATTTTTTTATTTTATTCGGATAACTTTTAGTGGATAATTTTTCAACTTCTGAATAACATTTTCACGTTTGGCGGATAGCATGGCTAGCGTTTCAATCCAATTCGAATAACTTGGATAAGAATCACCTCCTCCGGATAAAATTTTCATTTTATCCGTACAACATGGATAACATTTTCACCTTGTCCTGATAATTTCCACTCAATCCGAATAACGGATATAGTTAGTATCTTCAAATTATCCAAACAATTTACTTATTTTTTATCCAATTAATTTTTTTAATTATTTTTTTGAAATTTTTTCTAATATCCCCCTTTTCCTTCTTCCTTTTTTTAGTGACATGTCCAAGCTAACACCTCACGATGTGGTTGGAAATTGCCGCATCGCTTTTGACGCCGCCGAGTCGCTGGGTATACCGCGCGTCATTGAGCCCAGCGACATGAGTCTGCTGGCGGTGCCGGACAAATTGGCCGTCATGACGTATCTACATCAATTGAGGGCCCACTTTACCGGCAAGCAGCTGCAAATTGAACAAATTGGTATGGAATTAATTGAAAAGCAAAAAAAAAAAACACAACAAATCAATAAAGAAACTAAGATGGAGACAAATTAATTAACCAAAAATTGTCCCCCTTCTCTTTCAGGTCCCACCTCGGACGAGTCCAGCTACGTCATTGGCAATTACAAATCGGACAATTTGTCGTCACAGAATCTTTTGAATCTGTCGCACTTGAAAGCACAACTTCTGCATCAGAATTCATTGGACGATGACATCTTTGGGCTGGACAACAACAAGTCTCAGCTTTCGCCCACGGCAAAGAAAGATGTTAAGAATCTAATTTTATCCGGTTCGAAGAGTATTCTCGGCAAGGTGCTGTCGCCGACAAAGGATAAGAATAGCATTAATGCGTCACAGCATTCGAATTTGAATGCGTCCACAACACCGACATCTACTCCCACATCGGCCCTGATTGAGGGCAACGGGTCGTTGGAGGATCAGCAACAGCATGCAGATGAAGTCGTCAGTAACTCCTCCAATCAAGAGAATATTTCCCAAAATGCACAACTCAAGGAGAACCTCATATCGCCTGCAGCCCTGGATCCGAACACAACAAATGTGAGTGCAATAATTTTCGAGGAGAGAGAGAAAATAAGAGAGGAAACAATTTAAAGTCATTTCACAAAGTTTTGTTTTTAAAGCTTTTGTTCCTTTTTTATTGCTTAAGTTTTATTTTTTCGTTCCGTCCCCCCTTGGCTTTGTTTATTTCTTTTTACAAGCTTTTTTGTTTTTGTAGAAAATTTTATCACGTCATAAAGAGCAAAGTGAAAAAGCCCGCCAAATGATGGAGAAATTACGAATTTCTCAAAACGAAAGACTGGCAAATGACGTAAGTAGTGCTTTCTTTTCATTTCATTATCATCATTATTTTGTAGGCATTGTTTGAAATTTTGTTAAAAAGCTTTTTTTATGTTTTCTATTTAATTTAGTTTTATGAGAAACAGTTTTTTTTTTTGTTTGAGTTAAAGGTTTTTGTTTTTACTGTTTGATTTGTGCTTTGTAGGAAACTGATCTCAAATAAGAATGTATTTGGAAGCTTTCGTTAAGCTATTGCTAGTTTTTGAAATTTCATGCCAAAGCTTAAGTGAGTTGTTTTGAGATTTTCAAGAAAACTAGGTGCCGAAAAGCTTTTGTTATTTTGCTTTGCCCGAATAATACTTCCCCCAAGATTTGCTTTGTAAAATTGCTTCAAAAATAAAAAATCCGAAATATTTGATGGATCTTGAATGCCCAAACTCGATCCATATAAAAAACCAGTAAAGAAAGTCTTAAAGTCCGGCGGGCCGACTTTATGAGATACCCTACACTACTTTGCTAATTTAGTAGAGCTCCACATAACAATTAAAAGTTTTTATGGGAGAATTCATTAATTAATTTTCAAATCGGATAAAAATATATATGGGAGCTATATCCAAATCTGAACCGATCTCGATAAAATTTGGCAAAGATATTTCTGAGCTGTAGTTGATATATTTCCCTGAATATCGTTGTTACGGAGAGCATATTACGGTTGTGGGTAACAAATATGACAAATCGGATGAACAGTATATATGGGAGCTATAGCTATAACTGAACCGATCTTCACCAAATTTGGCATACTAGCTTCTATACTCAATTCGGTCGTAAGTGCCAAATTTCATCCAATTTGGGCAAATATTAGACGTTTGGTGCACCATCCAAGGTAAATCGGACGAAGTTATGTATGGGAGCTATATCCAAATCTGAACCGATCTCGATAAAATTTAGCAAATGTATTTCTGAGCTGTATTTGATATATTTCCCCAAATATTGTTGTTACGGAGAGCATATTACGGCTGTGGGTAACAAATATGACAAATCGGATGAACAATATATATGGGAGCTATAGCTATATCCGAACCGATCTTCACCAAATTTGACATACTAGCTTCTAGACTCAACTCGGTCGTAAGTGCCAAATTTCATCCAATTTGGGCAAATATTAGACGTTTGGTGCCCAATCCAAGGTAAATCGGACGAAGTTATGTATGGGAGCTATATCCAAATCTGAACCGATCTCGATAAAATTTAGCAAATGTATTTCTGAGCTGTATTTGATATATTTACCTGAATATCGTTGTTACGGAGTGCATATTACGGTTGTGGGTAACAAATATGACAAATCGGATGAACAGTATATATGGGAGCTATAGCTATAACTGAACCGATCTTCACCAAATTTGACATACTAGCTTCTAGACTCAATTCGGTCGTAAGTGCCAAATTTCATCCAATTTGGGCAAATATTAGACGTTTGGTGCACAATCCAAGGTAAATCGGACGAAGTTATGTATGGGAGCTATATCCAAATCTGAACCGATCTCGATAAAATTTAGCAAATGTATTTTTGAGCTGTATTTGATATATTTCCCCAAATATTGTTGTTGCATAGTGCATATTACGGCTGCGGAGGACAAAAATAACAAATCGGATGAACAATATATATGGGAGCTATAGCTATATCTGAACCGATTTCGATCAAATTTAACATACATATTTTCAGGCCTAATTTGGGTGTATCTGCAAAATTCCATACTATTCGGGCTGATATTACAGGTTTGGTGCACAATAAAAGGCAAATCGGACGAAGATATATATGGGAGCTATATCTAAATTTTGACCGATTATCTCCAATTTCAATAGGGTTCGTCCTTGGGCCAAACAAATGATTTGTGCAAAATTTCATCTGGATAGGGCAATAAATGCGAACTGTACTTTGTTTACAAAAAAAACATGGACAGACGGATGGACGGACGGACTGACATGCATAAATCGACTCAGAATGTGATTCTATGCAGATCATCAAAAGGAACTATGGGTCTATCTCGTTTCCTTCTGCCTGTTACAAACAAATGCACAAAGACATAATACCCTGACCACCTTGTGGTGTAGGGTATAAAAATATATTGTCCAAGTATGAGGAAAATGCAAAAAACTCAAAGATATCCGGATAACCCGAAAATTTACCCGAGCTATTCAAATAGTGTGAAAAAAATCATTTGGACAACTCAAACATTGCCCAAGGCAGCTGCCGATAACACGCGAATATTATGCACGCTATCTGGATAGAGCAGAAATATTATTCGAAGAAGGTAGAAATGATATCCACATTGCCAGATGGTGGATAAGTAGTATTCACATTATCCGAAAAAGGTAGAAATTTTATCCAAGTAGTCCAGATAGGGAACTAATCCTATAAACGTGGATTTTTTAAAGATTTTTTAAAGGACTATAAACGTGGATTTTTTAAAGATTTTTTAAAGGACTATAAACGTGGATTTTTTAAAGGACTATAAACGTGGATTTTTTAAAGGACTATAAACGCGGATTTTTTAGAGATTTTTTAAAGGACTATATACGTGGATTTTTTAAAGGAAAATGTTATCTATTTTATCTAGACAATTTAAAAAATGTATCCACATTATCCGGATGAGAGATAAATATTATCCACGTTATCCGGATAAGTCACAAATATTATCCAGGTTATCCACATGGCGTAGAAATGCTATAAATGTTATCCGAATAAGGTAGAAATGTTATCCGAGTTATCCAGTTAAGGCAGAAATATTATCCACATTATCCGAGTAAGGTAGAAATGTTATCTACATTATCCGAATGAGGTAGAAATGTTATCCACATTATCCGGATGAGGTAGAAATGTTATCTACATTATCCGGAAGAGGTAGAAATGTTATACACATTATCCGGATAAGATAGAAGTGTTATCCACATTATCCGAGTAAGGTAGAAATGTTATCTACATTATCCGAATGAGGTAGAAATGTTATCCACATTGTCCGAGTAAAGTAGAAATGTTATTCACATTATCCGGATGAGGTAGAAATGTTATCTACATTATCCGGAAGAGGTAGAAATCTTATCCACATTATCCGGATGAGGTAGAAATCTTATACACATTATCCGAGTAAGGTAGAAATGTTATCTACATTATCCGGATGAGGTAAAAATGTTATCCACATTATCCGAGTAAGGTAGAAATGTTATCTACATTATCCGGTTGAGGTAGAAATGTTATCCACATTATCCGGATGAGGTAGAAATGTTATACACATTATCCGGATAAGATAGAAGTGTTATCCACATTATCCGAATGAGGTAGAAATATTATACACATTATCCGAATAAGGTAGACATGTTATCCACGTTATCCGTATGAGGTAGAAATGTTATACATATTATCCGAATGAGGTAGAAATGTTATCCACATTATCCGGATGAGGTAGAAATGTTATCCACATTATCCCGACGAGGTAGAAATGTTATACACATTATACGGATAAGATAGAAATATTATCCACGTTGTCCGGATAAAGTAGAAATGTTATCCACGGTAGATGGGTAACATAGAAATGTTATCCACGTTATCCGGATAAAGTATAAATCTATTCAGATTATTCGAATGGAGGATAAATCTTATCCATGTTATCCAGATAGGATAGATTTTATCCAGGCTATTCAGAATAGTGTAGAAATAGTAAAATCGAATATGTTTCAGTGTAGAACAATTTTAGTCTGAAACTGTTATAATTGAATTTGTAGCATTTTATAACTGTTATAATCAAATCAGTTGCGGTGCATTATCGTTCTAATCGTCTGGGTGACATTCGAAAACTGATCTACGCAATCATTTCGGAAAATTTTTCATTCAATTCTTGTTTGAAACTGTTATACACGAATCAGTTGTAGTCTTAAACTACTTTACATGCATTAGTTTCTATGTGAAACTGTTATAAAAGTATCAGATGTAGTTTGAAACAGTTCTAAAGCAATCATTTTCAAATTAGAACTGTTATATAGGAATTAGATTTCGATTGGAACAGTTATACACGAAAAAGTTTTAATATAAAAGTGTTATAAAAGCATAACATTTCGGTCTAAAGCTGTTCGAAAGCAATCGGTTTTAGATTACAGGCATTATAGAAGAATAAACTATATCAGTCTGAAACGGTTCTAAAGCTATAATTTTTAAATCGGCGCTGTTATATTGTATTTAGATTTCAATTGAAACTGTTATACAAGAAACCGTTTCAGTTTTAAAGTTTTATAAAAGGATAAAATTCGATCTGAAAACAAGAATAAGATTTAGAATTGTAACTGTTATACATAAATCGATTTTAATTGAAAACTGTTATAAAATCATTAGATTCAGGCTGAAAGTGTTCTAAAGCTATACATTTTAAACCATAACTGTCATATTGAAATTAGATTTCGATTGAAACTGTTATAAGCGTATCCATTTCAGTTAGAAAGTGTTATAAAAGGACAAAATTCGATCAGAAACGATTCAAAAAAATCCGTTTCAGATTAAAAATTCTATGCAAGAAAAAGATTTTGAAATATAATTGTTATACGTGAATCTGTTTCAATTTGAAACCATTATAAAATCATTAGAATTAGTCTGAAACTCTGTTCTAAAGGGGGTCAGATTCAATCCGAAACTTTTCTAAAGCGAATATTTTCGACTTAAACTGCTATACAAAAATCGGGTTTTAGATTAAAACTGTTATAAAAGTATATGTATTACTCTTTGGAAAGAGTCCTTGAACTGTCTGACATGGATCAACTAAAATTCAAACAAAAATAAAAAAAAAATCTAAAAAATGATTTAGATTTTTTTTTAGTTTTTTTTTTCTTTTTGGCAGAAAACTGTTCTAAGCTACTCAAATTCATTGCAAAAAAAATTTCTCAAAATCTATCTCAGTTTTAAAATGTTTAAAAAAAATTATTTTTTTTTTTTTTGGGATTTTAAATCGTTCAAAACGTATCACAATTAGTCCAAAACTCTCCGAAAAATCGATTTCAATTTGAAAAAAAATTTCTTTTTGGTAGAAAACTGTTCGGATCCAAAACTCGATTTTTAAAAGAATTCTTTCGTAAAAAACGGTTTGAAACGGATAGGTTTCAGTGAAAATTTTCTCAAAAAAATCGATTTAATTTTGAAATTTATCTAAAAATTCGATGCCAATTTCAAACTGTTATAAAATAAATTTTTTTCACTACAAAATTGGTCCAAATGGATCAAATTCAGTCCAAAGGAATTATTTCGTAAAAAATCACTCGGAACTGCTAAAAATTTCCTAAACTGTTATAAACGAATTAATTTAACTATAATTTGTTCAAAAAAATCGATTTTAAAAATTAGTTTTAATATGGAACTGTTATAAAAAATCGATTTTAGTTCTAAACTATTAAATCTCCTTCAAACGTCCCTTTTTTAGGTGGAAATCTAATATTTTCCCTTTTTCTTTCCCCCCAGGAGGAACGCCAACAACGTCTAAGGGAAGAGGCCCGACGCATAATACTCGAGACACGTGGCAAGTCCTCGTCGAATCACAGCAGCCTGGAGAGTCCGACATCACCTACGAAAAATAAACGTTACAATTTCACCTCAGAACGTACAATATCACCCATCAGTAATACTCTGGATTTGGATGATTTTACGGTGGGCGGAGGAGGAGGAGGAGAGTCATCGCCCAAAGCACCGTTATCGCCGACAAAGCGTATAACACCACCACGTGATAATGATAGCAGTAGTAATACAACAACAACAACAGCAACAACAAATAGTAAATTAAGTCCTAGTCATAGATTAAGTTTAACAAATGGTGGTGGCGGCACTACCCTGCAGTCCTTCAACAATGTCATGGATCGTCTGACACCAAAGAGCGAAAATATGGTAAGAACAGGGAGGATGAGGAGGAGGATGACGTTTTAATATTTTCTTTTCTTGCAGCCCGAAAAGTTGGCATTCATCCAATCCGAACTGGAGGCCCTGGAACGTGAACAGGTGGCCGTCGATCAAAAGGCCAACAGCCTGGAAAAGAAACTGCGCGCCGTCATGAGCGGCAAACCAAGTAATAATAGTAGAAATAAGGAAAACCCCTTCTTTAGATTAATACGCAATAGCATTGGTGGTGGTGAAACCATTCGCATTAAATTGTTAGACATAGAAAACGGTGAATTGTCCCTCACCCCCTCGGGTAGTTCAGAATCATGTTCATCGGAGAGTAGTAGCTCATCACAGACACATTCAAGCAATGATGATGGCGGTGGCGGTGGCGGCGGCCTTGTTCGGGGTGGAGTTGCGGGTGGTGTTGCCAGTCTGAAGGCAAGTTTGCTAAGGCCCTTCTCGGCTGAGACCAAAGTTGTGAGACGGGTACGGCGACGTCGTCTACATCCTCACATACCGAGACAGCGATCTCGGTCATGTTGTGTGGCCGAAATGCAAATACCACGCTCTCACGACGACTTTGGCGATTATGAGCCGCAGCAGCAGAAACAGCAGCACCATCAACAACAACCGTCTTCCCGACATGAACAGCCACCACAGCGCCAGCCATCAAGGGGTATTAGAGAAAATGCCCCATCAGCTACTGCTACCTCCTCAACACCTCAGCCACAACAACAACAACAGCAACCCTATAGTCTATTATCCTCAGCTTCATCCAATCATTCCTCTTGTGATAATTTCAAAATCTGTAGCGATGAAGAAGAACAGCAACAAATGCAACAACAACAACAACAGTCACAGCAATCCGATCCATTTGTACGAAGACGTCACAGAAGACGTTCTACCTCTCAGCAGCAAAGATCGCGAAGTAGAAGTAAAAGTGCTGGTGGTAAATTTTGTTTTCTCCTCCCCTCCTACATTTTCTCATTCAGAATTTAGTTTGTTGCAAATTAGATTGCTGCTGCGCTCTCTCATGGCCAAAACCAAAACCAAAACAACAACAAAAACCAAAAACCGCTTTAGTAGCTTTAATAGCAACCGTTATCAATAATCATTTGAAGACTGAAGCTTCATATGTAATCCAGCTTAATCGGCTGCCCGCCTGCTGCTCTCCATTTTACCACTCACTCATTTACAACTCGCCCTTCTGTTTTGTATGTCGCCTTCTCGTTCGTGTCATAACCAATCAATCAACCAAATGTGTCATTAATCGAAAATATCCTCCACGTTCTCCATTGTTTTAACCATTCTCTGTGTGTATATTAATTCGTTTTTGTAACGTCGTTCGTCTCCTGGTTCTTCCAAATGAAATCCCACTCAGCGCTGGAAGTTGAAGAAGAACTGACCATTTCGTTATCCAATTTGTTTCCGTTTATGATTTGTGTTTGTGTTAACCATGCCTTAACAAGCTTTAGTTGTTGTTACTATTTTTATTATTATTGTGTTAATACCGTTCGTTTTCTAGCCAATGTTGAAAATATTCTCTCAAACAACAAAAATTCACCTTAATTTGGTTACAAAATATAAGGGGAATTTGAAGGCTCTAAAGGGATTTTATAGGAAAAATAATCCGATTTTTTTTCTACAGCTCATTTTATAACAGTTCAGATGGATTTAAGAATCAGTTTGAATCTTCCACTGTTGTAAAAGAATCAGTTTGAACCTCAAACTTTTCTTAAAAAATCAATTTGAAACTCAAACTCTTCTAAAAGAATTAGTTTGAGCCTCAAACTGTTGTAAGAGAATCAGTTTGAACCTCAAACTGTTTTAAAAGAATCTAATTCAGCCTCAAACTGTTCTACAGGTCTTAGTTTGAACCTCGAACTTTTCTAAAAGAATCAGTTTGAACCTCAAACATTTGAAACATGTACATTTCGAACCTCAAACTGTTATAAAATAATTAGTTTGAACCTCAAACTGTTATAAAAGAATTAGTTTGAACCTCAAACTGTTATAAAAGAATTAGTTTGAACCTCAAACTGTTCAAAAAGAATCAGTTTGAACCTCAAACTGTTCTAAAAGAATCAGTTTGAACCTCAAACTGTTCTAAAAAAAATCAGTTTGAACCTCAAACTGTTATAAAAGAATCAGTTTGAACCTCAAACTGTTCTAAAAGAATTAGTTTGAACCTCAAACTGTTCTAAGAGAATCAGTTTGAACCTCAAACTGTTCTAAGAGAATCAGTTTGAACCTCAAACTGTTCTAAAAGAATCAGTTTGAACCTCAAACTGTTCTAAAAGAATCAGTTTGAACCTCAAACTGTTCTAAAAGAATCAGTTTGAACCTCAAACTGTTCTAAAAGAATCAGTTTGAACCTCAAACTGTTCTAAAAGAATCAGTTTGAACCTCAAACTGTTATAAAAGAATTAGTTTGAACCTCAAACTGTTATAAAAGAATACGTTTGAACCTCAAACTTTTCTTAACAAATCAATTTGAAACTCAAACTATCCTAAAAGAATTAGTTTGAACCTCAAACTGCTATAAAAGAATCAATTTGAACCTCAAACTGCTATAAAAGAATCAGTTTGAACCTCAGACTGTTCTAAAAGCTTTAGTTTGAACCTCAAACTGTGCTAAAAGAATAATTTTGAACCTCAAACTATTCTAAAATAATCAGTTTGATCCCCAAACTGTTCTTAAAGAATCAGTTTGGACCCTCAAACTCTTCTAAAAGAATCAGTTAGGACCCTCAAACTCTTCTAAAACAATCAGTTTTAACCTCAAACTGTTCTAAAATAATTATTTTCAACTTCAAACATTTCTAAAAGAATAATTTTGAACCTCAAACTGTTCTAAAAGAATCGGTTCGAACCTCAAACTGTTCTTAAGGAATTATTTTGAAGCTCAAAGTGCTCTACAGGTTTTAGTTTGAACATCAAACGGTTCTAAAAGAAGCATTTTGAACCTCAAACTCTTCCTAAAGAATAAGTTTGAACTTCAGACTGTTCTAAAATAATCAGTTTGTACGTCAAACTGTTCTAAGAGAATCAATTTGAACCCCAACCTGTTCTACAAGAATTAGTTTGAACCTCAAACTGTTCTAAAAGAATCAATTTGAACCTCAAACTGTTCTAAAATAATCAATTTGAACCTCAAACTGTTCTAAAAGAATAAGTTTGAACCTCAAACTGTTCTAAAAGAATCAGTTTGAACCTCAAACTGTTCTAAAGGAATAAGTTTGAACCTCAAACTGTTCTAAAAGAATCAGTTTGAACCTCAAACTGTTCTAAAAGAATCAGATTGAACCTTAAACTGTTCTAAAAGAATAAGTTTGAACCTCAAACTGTTCTAAAAGAATCAGTTTGAACCTCAAACTGTTCTAAAGGAATAAGTTTGAACCTCAAACTGTTCTAAAAGAATCAGTTTGAACCTCAAATTGTTCTAAAAGAATCAGTTTGAACCTCAAACTGTTATAAAAGAATTAGATTGAACCTCAAACTGTTCTAAAAGAATCAGTTTGAACCTCAAACTGTTCTAAAAGAATCAGTTTGAACCTCAAACTGTTCTAAAAGAATCAGTTTGAACCTCAAACTGTTCTAAAAGAATCAGTTTGAACTCAAACTGTTCTAAAAGAATCAGTTTGAACCTCAAACTGTTCTAAAAGAATCAGTTTGAACCTCAAACTGTTCTAAAAGAATCAGTTTGAAACTCAAACTGTTCTAAAAGAATCAGTTTGAACCTCAAACTGTTCTAAAAGAATCAGATTGAACCTTAAACTGTTCTAAAAGAATAAGTTTGAACCTCAAACTGTTCTAAAAGAATCAGTTTGAACCTCAAACTGTTCTAAAGGAATAAGTTTGAACCTCAAACTGTTCTAAAAGAATCAGTTTGAACCTCAAATTGTTCTAAAAGAATCAGTTTGAACCTCAAACTGTTATAAAAGAATTAGATTGAACCTCAAACTGTTCTAAAAGAATCAGTTTGAACCTCAAACTGTTCTAAAAGAATCAGTTTGAACCTCAAACTGTTCTAAAAGAATCAGTTTGAACCTAAAACTGTTCTAAAATAATCAGTTTGAACCTCAAACTGTTCTAAAAGATTCAGTTTGAACCTCAAACTGTTCTAAAAGAATAATTTTAAACCTCAATATGTTCTAAAAGAATCAGTTTGAAACTCAATCTGTTCTAAAAGAATCAGTTTGAACCTCAAACTGTTCTAATAGAATCAGTTTGAACCTCAAACTGTTCTAAAAGAATGAGTTTGGACCTCAAACTGTTCTAAAATAATCAGTTTGAACCTCAGACTGTTCTAAAAAAATTAGTTTGAACCTCAAACGGTTCTAAAAGAATCAGTTTGAACCTCAAACGGTTCTAAAAGAATCAGTTTGAACCTCAAACGGTTCTAAATGAATCAATTTGAACCTCAAACTGATCTTAAAGAATCAGTTTGAACCTCAAACTGTTTTAAAAGAATCAGTTTGAACCTCAAACTGTTCTAAAAAATCAGTTCGAACCTCAAACTGTTCTAAAAGAATCAGTTTGAACCTCAAACTGTTCTAAAGGAATCAGTTTGAACTTGAAACTGTTCTAAAAGAATCAGTTTGAACCTTAAACTGTTCTAAAAGAATCAGTTTGAACCTCAAACTGTTATAAAGAATTAGTTTGAACCTTACACTGTTCTAAAAGAATCAGTTTGAACCTCAAACTGTTCTAAAAGAATCAGTTTGAACCTCAAACTGTTCTAAAAGAATCAGTTTGAACTCAAACTGTTCTAAAAGAATCAGTTTGAACCTCAAACTGTTCTAAAAGAATCAGTTTGAAACTCAAACTGTTCTAAAAACATCAGTTCGAACCTCAAACTGTTATAAAAGAATTAGTTTGAACCTCAAACTGTTCTAAGAGAATCAGTTTGAACCTCAAACTGTTCTAAAAGAATCAGTTTGAACCTCAAACTGTTCTGAAATAACCGGCTTGAACCTCAAACTGTTCTTAAAGAATCAGTTTGGACAATCAAACTCTTCTAAAAGAATCAGTTCGAACCTCTAAATGTTATAAAAAAATTAGTTTGAACCTCAAACTGTTCGAAGAGAATCAGTTTGAACCTCAAACTGTTCTAAAAAAATCAGTTCGAGCCTCAAACTGTTCTTAAAGAATAATTTTGAACCTCAAACTGTTCTACAGGTCTTAGTTTAAACCTCAAATTGTTTTAAAAGAGTCCTTATTTGAGTCCTAAATTGTTTTAAAATCATCTGTATAAGCCATAAACTGTCCTAAAATAGTCAATTATTTAACAAAAATGTTATACAAACATATTTTTGAATCTGAAACTGTCCTTAAAAAAATTTATTAAATTACCTTCGATATCTCCTTGAGCCTTCAACGCCCTTTTCGTAGTTATTAAACTTAGTTTCTTAGAATATTAGAATTTAAAAAGCTATATATCTATTTCAAACTGTTATACAAAATTTTATATTTCCCTTAGTTACGGAGGAAACCGAAGAACAACTCCTTTCACAATGGTTTACATTGGTCAACAAAAAGAATGCCTTGATACGGCGACAAATGCAATTGAATTTACAGTGAGTATTGAGAAAAAAAAAACTATTTATTTGTTTCAAATAAATATTGAAAATGATTTGCTTTTGCAGTGAAAAAGAATGTGAATTGGAACATAAATATAATCTCCTCAAAGAAGAGTTGCGTGCTGCCCAATCGATAGAGGATTGGCGCAAAACCGAGGCCCAAAGGGAAAAGGAACGTTTGCTGCTGGACAAATTGGTTGATGTGGTCGATAAGCGTAACGAATTGGTGCAGTGTTTACACAACGAAGAACAAGCGTAAGCGGATGGGAAATTTTGAATTTAAATTACTTTTTTTTTTTAATGGAATATTTTTTTTTTATTACAGCATCGAAGATGATCATGAAATTGCCCGCAATCTGGAACAGGTCAACATTAGCGGCAACAATGAGAAATGTGTTATATCTTAAAGAGCTTTAACTGAAACAAAAACTTTACCAACGGAATTCAAGAGACTTCCATGACTGTGTGAAACATGAAAAACAACAACTGACATCAAATAACAAATACAAAAACAACCTTGAAGTCCTCTAACGTATAAAAAATTAAAAAAAAAATTCTGGGGGACTTTGGAAAATGATCAACCATAACGAACTTCTTAAACGTAAGAAACCCAAACAAACTAAAGCGTGCAACAAACCAACAACAAACAAATTAACTACAAGAAAAATTCTCTATATATGTGTGTGTGTTTAGCTTTATATATTTTATAAATTTAAAGATATATATATAATAATATATATATATATAGATATATAGATATCAACTTAATACAATATACATTCAAACCAATAGACCCAACACATAGTAACAAATAGAAAATTTTCAAAATAATTTTTCCCAAAATTAAAGATCTGTTTCTGTGCGACAATACGAAAGTGAATTCCAAAGAAATACATTCTATTCCATGTGGTTATTTTGAAATAAAAATAAAAAAATTGAACATCCCACAAGGACTGGAATTTTATTTTTCGAATTTACTCTGATATCATCATACATAAACAGCCCTTAAAACTCCAAACATTCTACAATATCAAGAAGCGGTAGGAAGAAAAGAAAAAAGAAAACAAAATTGAACAATATTAAAACTCTAAAAAAATGAACCTTACCCCAAAAAGGTAGATCACCTAAAAAACACCTGCATACAAACATACATATTTTGAAATTTAAAAAAAACTCTATCACAAAAAAAGGAAGAAACGCTATTTTTCGGTAACCAAGTTTAAAACAAAACCCCCCAAAATTATATTTCGAAAAACCAATCAACCAAAAAAACAAATTTGAAATTTAAGAATTTAAAGAAACAAAAAAAAAAAATAAAAAGAGAAAAGGAAAATCTATTTCAAAACCAAACGTCCGTTAGTTATTTAAGATAAAGACTATAATTTAAACTATGAAAAAAGAGGAAGAAGATGAAGATAACAAAATATGTATATCTAAAGATATATATTATGTATGGAAAACAGATATATACGAAAAATTATTGCAACAACTAGTTTCAACAAATCCAAAATTATTTCAAAGAGCAATACGGGAAGTTGTTTTGACAATTTTGAAGAGAGAAAGGCATTTTTGAAATAGTTTTTGTAATAAAGTTGATTATTTTAGAACGGTTTTCGAGTGAAAAACAACAGGTGGTAAATTATTCTTTTTTTATAGATTCATAATTAAATTGATGCTTTCTAACAGTTTCCACCTTTAACGCACTTTTAAGATTTATAACAGTTTCAAATTTTATAACAATTTCCAATTTTCCAAATCCAATCCAAATTTTATAACAGTTTCAAATTTTTTTGGAACAATTTCAACTTTTATAATACTTTTAACTTCTATAGCAGTTTCAAATGTTATAACAGTTTCAAATTTTATAACAATTTTCACTTTTATGGCAGTTTCAAGTTTTTAACAGTTTTATCTTTTATAGCAGTTTTAACTCTTATAAGAGTTTTAATTTCTAAAACAATTTCAACTTTTTTAACAATTTCAACTTTTTTTATAACAGTTTCAAAATTTATAACAATTTCAAACTTTATAAAAATTTCAAATTTTATAACAATTTTAACTTTTATAAGAGTTTTATCTTTTATATCAGTTTCAAATGTAATAACAGTATCAAATTTTATAACAGTTTCAAGTCTTATAATAGTTTTAATTTCTAAAATAATTTCAACTTTTTTAACAATTTCAACTATTATAACAGTTTTAACTTTTATAACAGTTTCAACTTTTATAACAATTTCAAATTTTAAAACATTTTCAACTTTTATAATACTTTTAACTTCTATGGCAGTCTGAACTGTTATAACAGTTTCAAATTTTATAACGATTTCAACATTAATGACAGTTTAAAGTCTTATAACAGTTTCAACTTTTAATAACAGTTTCCACTTTTATAACAGTTTCAACTTTTTTATAACAGTTTTAACTGTTATAACAGTTTCAAATTTTATAACGATTTCAACATTAATGACAGTTTAAAGTCTTATAACAGTTTCAACTTTTAATAACAGTTTCCACTTTTATAACAGTTTCAACTTTTTTATAACAGTTTCAAATTTTATAACAATTTTCACTTTTTCAAGTTTTTAACAGTTTTAACTTTTATAGCAGTTTTAACTGTTATAAGAGTTTTAATTTCTAAAACAATTTCAACTTTTTTAACAATTTCAACTTTTTTTATAACAGTTTCAAAATTTATAACAATTTCAAACTTTATAAAAATTTCAAATTTTATAACAACTTTAACTTTTATAAGAGTTTCCCGAAGCAATTCCAGGCTGAAAATATACCCTATATAACAGTTTCGGAATCGAATATTACTTTTGAAACATTTTCAAATTGGGTCAGACTAGTTTATAACAGTATCAAATTCAAGTTGAAACCAATTTTTAAGGAGATTTCCAAAACAATCCAGAATCTGTCAAACTAAATTTGCTTTTATAACAGTTTCAAACCGAAACTGTTATAACAGTTTAAACCAAATGTTTACTTTTAGATTTTTTCAAAGAGGCTCATTAAGACCTACAAACGTAAATTTTTAAGACCCTTTCAAGGCCTTTAAATCAGGATTTTTAAAGACCTTTCCAAGACGTTTTATTCAGATTTTTTAATGTCTTCTCATGGTCTATAAACTGGGCTATTTAAAGAACCTCCCACGATCTTCAAACATGAAGTTTAAAAGACTTTCTAAAGGGTCTCATACGTGGATTTTTAAGGACCTCCTCAAAGTCCCCACTTAATTCGAGAATTTTTGACCTTTAGAAGGCCCTCAAATGGGAATTTTTGAATACCTTCTAAAGGCCCTCAAACATGTACTTCTTAAAGACATTTCCAAGGACTTTTATCCAGTAGTTTTAAGGACCTCCTTAAGTCCTTTCAAAGTATTTTTTTAAATACACACTAAGACCTTTGGGTGTGATTTTTTAAAGATCCCACCAACACATTTGAAAGTGGATTTTCAAAGATCCCACCAACACCTTTGAACGTGAATTTTTAAAGACTTTGGAACGTGGACTTTTAAAGACTTTGGAACGTGGATTTTTAAAGACTTTGGAACGTGGTTTTTTAAAGACTTTGGAACGTGGATTTTTAAAGACTTTGGAACGTGGATTTTTAAAGACTTTGGAACGTGGATTTTTAAAGACTTTGGAACGTGGTTTTTTAAAGACTTTGGAACGTGGTTTTTTAAAGACTTTGGAACGTGGATTTTTAAAGACTTTGGAACGTGGATTTTTAAAGACTTTGGAACGTGGATTTTTAAAGACTTTGGAACGTGGATTTTTAAAGACTTTGGAACGTGGATTTTTAAAGACTCCACCTCCCCCCACCCTTGGACGTGGGTTTTTAAAGACCGCACCCAACACCATTGAATGTGAAACTGTTTTTAGTGACATTTCGAAGTTAAACTATTCTATTTAGAATAATTTTAAGGTAAACATTTTCTTTTAGAGCAGTTCTAGACTGTTATATAAGAGCCAATTTTAAACTGTTATAAAAATCGGCTTTTCAAAGAAACTTCATTTCAATCAGTTACTGTTCTAAAACATTCTAAAAAAGTTAGAAATCAAAAAAAAAAAAAGAGCTGTTCTGTTCCAAACCAAGCAGTTTTGGCCTGAAACTGTTCTAAACGAATAGGTTTCGTTCTAAGAATCACCTTCGTTTCAATTGGATCTGTTGTAATTGGATAGATAATTTTCAGTCTGACATGCTTCTAAGGAACCTAGTTTAAATTTTTAAATTACTCCAAAATCTCAGTTCTGTCTACAACTGCTCTAAGACTTTATTTTTCCTACGAAAACTGTCCTAAAGTAGTAGATTTTTTTTTCAAAGCTTTTCCAAACATAAGTTTTAGTCGGAAACAAATTTCCCAAATTGCTCGAAATTCCCTCGAATTTGTCATTTCGTTTTGAAAATTTGAATTTGAAATTTTGAAAATTGAATTTTTGTTTTGATTTATTTTGTGCCATTGTTTTTTTTTTCGTCGATCCGCTTTCTTACCCACAACTCTTCCATTTATTTTTGATGTTCGCTTACAAGTCCCAAGAAAAAAAATAAAAGAAAAACCTACCCTCGCCAATATAGTCCAAAATTCCTTTGGAGACCTACAATTTTATGATACTCAACTCACTTAAAAAAAAGAAGCAAAAATTTTTATGTTTCTTTTTATATTTTTTAGAAAGCCCCCCTCCCCCAAATATGTTTTCAATTTACTTTTTGTTAAAAAGAAAAATTTACACAATATTTTTTATTGTAAATTATTATTACAAAACCACTTTTGTAAGGCTTCTCACCAAAAAAAAGAAAAACCCTCAATGCAGATAACAAAATTTTAAAAATGAAAACGAACCTGAAGGATTTTTTAACTTTTTATTTTATATTGTATTTTTTATTTTAATTAGAAATTTAAGTTAATTTCTTTGTGTATAATTTTTTTTTTAAATTATAAATGACTAAAAAAGAACAAGGAATATGAAAAACAATAAAAAACAACTTAACTACTGGATGAAAAATATTTAGTTAATATTATTTCTGTTTTTAATAAGTGTGATGCAATTACAATAAAATATGTAATTAAAATAAAAAACAAATGTTTTTCTGTAAAAATTCTAATTTATTTTTATTATTTTAAAAAAACTATGGGTTTAATGTTTTTTTTTTTAGTTTTTAGTAAATATTTCATAGTTTTAAGTTTTGTGTAAATTATTTGAATTAGTTTTTATTTCACCACCCCCGCTCCCCCTGCTAGGGTCATTTTTGTATATTTTTGTTTATTTTTTTTAGTTTTTAGATTCTATAAAAAACAGAAACTGAACAACAGGCGATATCTGAACTTCAAACAAACCAACCAACCAACTAATTTAGCGTTTATTATTAGCTATGATATAAATTTATAAAATCACGAGAAATTAAAACAACAATTAATAATAATTAATGATTTTTCGTATTTAATTACAAGTAAACAAAAAAATTCGATGAATTATAAATTAAAACTAAATTTATCAAATATGAAATAAAAATTCAGAGAAAATATATATTTATCAACATTAAAAACAAATACGTGTTTTTCTTTGAAGAGAAAAGGGAGAAAGAGAGAGAGAGAGAAGTGGCTCAAAATTGCCATTAAAGGTGAATTATGAAAGAACCTCCCAAGGCCCAGAAACATGGATTTTACAAATTTTTAGCCAGTATTTTGAAAGACCTTTTCCGAGCCCTTAAACATGGACTTTTTGTATCCTCTCCAAGGCCGCCAAAAAGTGGGACCTTTATTGACCTCTTCAAGGCATTCAAGCGCGAATTTCAATGACCACTTTAAGGACCTCAAACGATGATTTTTTATGACCTCTCTAAGGCCCCAAATTTGTTATTTTAATTTTTGATCTGTTCAAGACCCTTAAATGTGGATTTGTAAAGACATTTCCAAGTCATTCAAATGTAAAAAAAAAATAAAAAAAATTAAGGACTTTCCTCCCAAGGTCCTCAAGCATGGATTTTGTAAAGGCCTTCCCAAGGGTCCTCAAAGTCCTTTAAATGTCGATTTTCAAAAAAAGATTTTTAAGGACTTTCCTAAGGCCCCAAACAAAGATGTTGAAAATCTACCCCTACCTCAAGCATGGAGTTTTAAAGGCCTTCCATAGGGTCCTCAAAGTCCCTTAAATGTTGATTTTCAAAAAAAGATTTTTAGGGACTTTCCAAAGGACTCAAACAAAGATGTTGAAAATCTTATCTAAGGCCCTAAACATGGAGTTTTGAAGGCCTTCCCAAGGGTCCTCAAATGTTGATTTTCAAAAAAAAAGATTTTCCTAAGGTCCCAAACAAAGATGTTGAAAATCCACCCCAAGGCCCTCAAGCATGGAGTTTTAAAGGCCTTTCCAAGGGTTCTTAAAGTCCCCAAAATGTTGATTTTCAAAAAAAGATTTTTGAGAATTTTCCTAAGACCCCAAACAAAGATGTTGATGTTGAAAATCTACCCCAAGGCCCTCAAATATGGAGTTTTAAAGACCCTTCCAAGGGTCACAAACTGTGACTTTAAAATCCTGTCTAAGGCCTTTAAATGCAGATATTTTAAAAAACTTTGCAATGCTCTCATACGAAGAGTTTGTCAACCCCCATTACACAGTGAATTTTCATGGCCTCTTTAAGGGATTAAAATATGAACCTTCATAGACCCGGCTTAGACCTTTAAACGTAGATTTTTCCGAGGTCCTCAAAGTCTTTATCAAAGCTCTGAAACGAGGATTTTCAAAGACTTCATTAGGGCCTGAAATGAGGATTTTGAAAGTCTACCTCAAGGTCCTCAAACGTTGATTTTCAAAGAACGGCAATCAAACGAAGATTTTTAAAGACTTTTATGAGACACTGGAACTAGGATTATAAAGTCTACCTCAAGGCCCTCAATAATTGATTTTCAAAGAACTTCCCAAGGCAATCGAACGAGGATTTTTAAAGATTTTTATGACACACTCGAACTAGGATTATAAAGTCTTCCACAAGACCCTCAAACATGGACCTCCTTGAGGCCTTTAAACCAGGATTTTTAAGGGCTTAAAAAGTCCCCACGAAGAGTTTTTGACGTTGATTTTAAAAGTGTCCATTAAGACCTTTCAAAGTGGGTTTTGAAGATCTTTTAAAGGCCCTCAAACGTGAATTTTCAAAGACTCTCCGAGGCTTTTAGACCAGGATTTTTAAGGACTCCATTAAGACCTTTAAACGTGGATTTTTGACGACCTTCCAGAGAGCATCAAACGTGTTTCTAAAGATCTTTCCAAGGGCTTAAAGCCAGCCTTTTTAGGGACAGTTTTAAAGACTTTCTCAAGGCCCTCAAATTTTAATCTTTACGACATCCTCAATGCCTTTAAATGTTGACGTTTTGAAGAATTTTAAAAGAATTCTTGTGTCCCAGGGGTCCCACGAATTTTTTTCTATAGGAAAAAAATTGGACTCTGGACTCCCACGAATTTTTGTTTCTATAGGAAAAAATTGGACTCTGGAGTCTCTCGAATTTTTTTCTATAGGAATAAATTGGACCTCGGAGATCCCATATTTTTTTTTCTAGACGAGAAAAATTGGACCCCATGGATCCAACGAATTTTTTTTAATACTATATTGAAAAAAAAAATAGAACCCAGGGATCCTACCAATTCTTCTCTATGGGAAAAAAATGGACCCGAAGTGTCCCACAAATTTTTTCTTCTTTAGGAAAAAATTGGACCTCAGGGTCCTACGAGCTATCTTTGTAGTGCCTCGAACTCTCCCAATCCTGGTATTAGAATATTACAAGAAGTCAAGACCATGCCAAGCGGAGAAGATGGCTCCCTTCATTTTGGATATATGTTCGACTAGGTCCACATGGAGTTTTCGGCGTGAGTCCTGAAACACAATTTCAAAAGTTAACTTAGCCCAGGTGGTGATGCCCTACTAATTTGCCTACGACCATCAGAGACGGCCACCTTTTTCTTGCGGCAGAAAAAATCGTGCGACACTTGGGTCCAAGTTTTTTCTATAAAAAAAAAAAAAAAAATCGACGGACCTTTTCGTCGAACCCTTTGGTCCAAGTTTTTTTTGCTATAGATAAAATTTCATGGGTCCAAGTTTTTTCTACAGAAAAAAAATCATGGGACCCTTTGCTTCAAGTTTTTTTCTATAGACGTATGTGCGTATAAGTGTTGCCGGCACGTATACGCACTTAACTATCAAAGATTTCTTTTGACCATTTCGAGTGGATTTCTTCTTCACCCTGGGTCTGCTTTTTTTGTAAAACACTAGTATCCTCTCCCTTTCAGATTTGTGTGTTTATGAACAAGAGATCATAAGTTCACCGATACTAGGCGTTTTCAATTAACTAATTAATAATTTTTGAGGCCTCCAAAATGTGTTAAGAAAAACCTGCTTCCATTTTCACTTCTACTTTTCAAGTGTCCATCAACATGCTCGGTCGCCTGCCGCTTTGGTGGTTCCATTTCATAAACTGTGTTTGTATCTTCACCTCAACCGCGATATACAGCATCGATTTTGAAAAACGTCAACTCAGGAAACCGGGCCTTTGTCTAAAAATTTTCGTCTATCTGCCTTGCTTTCTATGTACGTGCCTTTTACCATTGGCCATCATTGATTCCCTTTCTCAGGATAGATTATTTTTCCAAAATATTGTGGCAATTTATGTGAATTGGATGACGATTTTCGTTCGTTTCCTGCTGTACGGGGTGTTCGTCCTTGGGCTATGCCATCGAAATGGGAGAATCGGTCATTGGCTGGAGAAGGTGTTGGAATTGCAGGCCTCATATTTCGACGGCCATGCGGAGGTGCCAAAGGATATGCAGCATCGCAAGTGGTTGTATTTCAACAGCATTTTGGCCTGTACCCATTATGGTCTGGAGTCCTATCTGAACGGGGATAGTGATAGGGATGATGAAATTCTAACGGATTGGGCTCAAGTCAGTCTATTTGTCATGGTGAATGTTCAACATTTCTACATGCTGCAACATGCCACGTTGCTGTGCTATTTGAGGGAGTGTTTCTCCCAGCTCCGCCATCAATTGGCAACGAAGGAAATAACTACCCGATTGAATTTAATCTATAATCAACTGCGTAACCACTACGAAGAATTGAATGATATTTTTGGTCCCCTTATTTCGATTATTCTTCTCTGCTCATTTCTTACGAATTCCATGGTGGGCTATGTCATGCTGATGTATTTGAAATTGCCCAACTTTCAAATCGATCTTTATCTCTATCTCTTTGGAAATGGCCTGTACTTTTGGCTGCTACTTCACTGGTACATCTATGTTATGCTGTGCGATCGGGTGGAGTCGGCCATCAAGGATATCGATTGGGTGATCAATGAATATACTACGGAGAAGGAATCACAACGGGAGGTATGACAGTATACTATTATCCTTGGGAGTGGACATGGAAGACAAAATAATATATATTTCCTGATTCCAGATTGAACTGATTGTTTTCAGCCGTTGCCTTCGTTGGCCGGGTACCAACATTTGCCAACTCATCGATATAAATCGGGGATATTTGTTTTGCTGTCTGGCCCAAACACTGTCGTATATCATAACTCTGATACAGTGTGATTATGTTAATTTAATATGAAAAAATACAAAAAAAATTGTTTAGAATTAAAAAATTAAATATAAGTTTTGAAAATACCCAGCCCTTAAAATCGTTTTTTTTTTCTCTCAAAACTTACGCCTATTTGGACAAAGAACTAATATGCGTATGAGTGTTGTCAGCACTCATACGCACCATGTATCAACAACATTTATAGAAATATATCTGGTCTTGAAGCCTGCAATTGGAAATTTTTAGTGTATTTCACAATAGAACCAAGTTATCGGAAAAAATACGCAATTACTGCAGATTTACATTTTTCGTGACTTTCTTCGTTATGACTTTTCAAGTGCTATATCTTTGAAAGTAGTTGGCATATCGATTTGAAATAACTTAGGAATTATTGCAGGGTATTTTATCTTCAAATTTTAAAAATACGTTTTCCCTATTACTCAACAATCGCCAGAGTTATGGCCAAAAATAAACGTAACTGTTTTATTCAAAATTTTAGAATTTTTTGTGGTACAAGTTTCTTGGGTTTGTATCTTTAAAGCTAATTATCATAGCTTTAAGAAATAAACGGATTTGAAATAAAAACAATCTGATCTTCAAGCCTGAAATTATAAGTTTTGGTGTATCTCACAAAATAACGGAGTTTTGGGACAAAATGCTCAATTACCTTTGATTTTCATTTTTAACAAATTTCTGCGTTATGATTTTCTAAGTGCTATATCGTTGAAAGTAATCGGCATATTGGTTTGAATGTGACTTTAAAATGATAGTAGAGCATCTTATCTTAAAGTTTTTAAAATAATATGTTCTTCTATCTCCTAAAGTTCCAGAGTAATGCCCAAAATTACACAACTAACAAAAATTAACAAAGTATGGCACATTCTTTGCAATTGTCTTCCGGAGGCCATATCTTTCCAAATAATGAGAATATTTTGTTGAAATAAATGGATTTTGAAAGCTTAATAACTGGGTTTTAAACCTTTCACACTTTGTTTTGTCATATCTTGAAAAATAGCTGAGTTATCGCCATTTCTATACATGTGCATAATTTTTGAAGTACATGGAATTTTCTTAGCCATCGTCTTCAAGGGGCCGTAACCCTATTTCAAATTTATATGGCCATATATATACACATTATATATGGAAAGGGAAATATATAATCCTCAAATCGATATAAATTTTGTTGACATATCTTGCCAAATACAGAAGTTCTGGGCAAAAATTAACATGAGCTCTATAATTTCAAAAATAAACATTGTTTGCGTAAACATTTTCTAGGGCCTATAACTCGGGAAGTAGTTGGGATATTGCTGAAGAATGTTTGCATGTTTAATAAAATGGATCCGATCTTCAAATTTGTCATTGGAGGTGTAAGTGTATCTCCACAAATACTAAAGCTATCGCGAAAATTACACATTTACTGTAATTTTAATTTTTATGAGTTTTCTTTGTAATCGGCTTTTAGGGCCTATATCTAGGGAACTAATGGGCATATTTAAACGAAATAAATTTATTTTGATAGCAGACCAACTAGGCTTTAAATTTATTTTTTAAATGTTGTTTATATATCTACAAATTCTGGAGTTATTTAAATTAACTATATAATTTCAATATTTCAATTTTTTGCGTTTGAGTTATTTAAATGAGCTATATAATGTCAATATTTCAATTCAATAGGGTCTATAACTTGTAAAGTAGTGAGAATATTTCTGAGATCTGATCTTCAAGTTTGTCATTGGTGGTTTAAGTGTATCTCCACAAATGTCAGAGTTATCGTGAAAATTGCACAGATACTTTTATTTAAAAAATTGTGAGTTTTCTTTGTAATCGGCTTTTAGGGCCTATATCTTGGAAATTAATGGGAATATTTTAACGAAATAAATTTATTTTGTTAGCAGGCAAAATACCCTTTATATTTCCTTCTCAAATATTGTATGTATCTCAACAAATTCTGGAGTTATTTAAAAGAGCTGTATAAATTCAAAAATGTATATTTTATGAGTAAACGCTTTCTAGGGTCTATAACTCGTATCGCAGAGGAGATATTGCTCAGCAATGATTATTTGTTTAATAAAGTAGACCTGATCTTCAAGTTTGTCATTGGGGATTTAATTGTATCTCCACAAATGTCAGAGTTATCGCGAAAATTATACAGATATTGGGATTTAAATTTTTTTTGAGTTTTCTTTGTAATTGTCTTTGAGAGCCTATATCTAGGGAACTAAAGAGAATGTTTAAACAAAATAAATTTATTTTGATAGCAGACCAACTAGGCTTTAAATTTCTCCTTCAAAAGTTGTCTATATCTCTACAATTTCTGGAGTTATTTCAATGAGCTGTATAATGTCAATATTTCAATTTCTTTTGCGTAAATGCTTTCTAGGGCCTATAACTTGGAAAGTAGTGGGAATAGTTTTAAGAAATGGTTGTATGTTTCATAAAGTGGACCTGATCTTCAAGTTTGTCATTGGGAATTTAAGTGTATCTCCACAAATGTCACAGTTATCGCGAAAATTACACATTTACTGTAATTTTAAAATATTTTGAGTTTTCTTTGTAATCGTCTTTTAGGGCCTACATCTAGGGAACTAATCGGAATATTTTAAGGAAATAAATATATTTTAATAGCAGACCAACTAGCCTTTATATTTCCTTTTTAAAGGTTGTCTATATCTCCACAATTTCTGGAGTTATTTAAATGAGCTCTATAATGTCAATATTTCAATTTTTTGCGTAAACGCTTTCTGGGGCCTATAACTTGGAATGTAGTGGGAGTAGTTTTAAGAAATGTTTGTATATTTCATAAAGTGGACCAGATCTTCATGTTTGTCGTTGGAGGTTTAAGCGTAGCTCCACAAATGTCAGAGTTATCGCGAAAATTACACATTTACTGTAATTTTTAAATATTTTGAGTTTTCTTTGTAATTGGCTTTTAGAGCCTATATCTAAGGAACTAATGGCAATACTTTTACAAAATAAATTAATTTCGATAGCAGACCAACTAGCCTTTATATTTCCTTTTCAAATATTGTATGTATCTCAACAAATTCTGGAGTTATTTAAATGAGCTGTATAAATTCAAAATTGTAGATTTTTTGAGTCAACGCTTTCTTGGGTCTATAACTCGTATCGCAGTGGAGATATTGCTCAGCAATGATTATTTGTTTAATAAAGTAGACTTAGTCTTCAAGTTTGTCATTGGAGGTTTAAGTGTATCTCCACAAATGTCAGAGTTATCGCGAAATTATTCAGATATTGTTATTTAAATAATTTTTGAGTTTACTTTGTAATCGGCTTTTAGGACCTATATCTAGGGACCTAATGGGAATATTTAAACGAACTAAATTTATTTTGATAGCAAACCAACTAGCCTTTATATTTCCTTTTCAAAGGTTGTTTATATCTCCACAAATACTAAAGTTATCGTCAATAATAAAAAGTGAGCTAGTTTTTTTAATAATTAAAATTTCTTCCGCAACATTTTCAATTGCCTATAACTTTTGAACTAAGAGGGGTATCGGAATGAAATATATATTTTTTAGAAGTCTTGATACCTGTATTTTATTCATCGGGTATATTTCATCGCGTTTGAGGTCATATATGTTAGGTGGGTCTGTGAAATATTTTGTTTTCAAATTTTGTCCTATCATTTCAAAAATGCCTTGTTATTATTTTTTTAAGAGTTTTTATTTATTTCAATTGGTAATTACAATATTTCTATGGAATTTAATCGTCTTTTATGGAGACATAATTTTATATACAAATAAAAATTGTAAAAATTATTTGAAAATTTTATCTAGAATTCAATTCATATATGTGTTTTTCTTTTTTTGTTTGGTATTTGCTTTAAGCTTAAAAATAAGTGCACTTTTTCAATATGATTTTCTATTTCATTGATATGTAATAAAATTTAGAGGCTAGGTAATTCTATTTTTTTAATTTAATTTTTATATACAAAATGAAATAATATATATTTTTAAATTTATTTTTAAATTTATTTTTGTACACTACTTGAGGGTCATATAAAATAATGGTCATTTTTATTAAGGTAATATTTGTATTAATTTTTAATTTTGTTAAAATTAATTTTATAATTTTTTCTATTGAAGGGAAAACAAGTGTTTCACGGTTCCCAACTCTGGGAATCAATTGGTAGACATAATTTTGTATTAATTTTTTTCTTTCGATATTTGTTGAAGATCATTATTTGTGGATACATCCTTGGAAGTTGGTTGTTTTGCTATATTTTTTATTAATGGTAGACTTCTTTTATAAATATTCTTTGGAAGGTTAGATGTTCTTCGAAGACAACATAACCCAAATTTTCGCTTAGGTTTTGGAAGTTAGATCTCAATTTGTATGTTTGGAAGATTCGAGTAATCTTTTCATTTTTGGAAAGTTTCCGTTTGATTCATTTATGCCTTGGCTGCCTCTGCAGCAGCCGCAGCCGCCGCAGCAGTGGCCGCAGCTGCAGCTGCCTGTCTCTTTTCCTCCTCCATTTCCAGACGTTCCACTTTACGTATTTTGCTTAGTTTCTCTGAAAAAATTAGAAATATTTTTTTAACTTGATCCGCAATTGCCTTCACTCCTCCGAGCGACTTACTTGCACATTTCAGCATTATTGTACCCCACCATATGCTCCAGCCCCAGCCCACAAAGCAGAAGAGCACACAAAAGAATTGGGCCATACCCACAATGATGTTGATGATCAGGGAGCCAAGGCGGGCCTTGGCACTATCGTAATGCGAGAATCGGGGAATGCCAACGCAAAGGCAAAAGAAGCCGGATAACAAGGTTCCTAGAAGGAAGAGTCAAAAGAAAGAGGGTTCAGGATAGGGTTAAGGGTTTTTTAGAAACAACTTGGACGTCTGAGAGACCCTCGAATTTTTTTCTGCACAAAAAATTGGACCCCAAGGGTCGCACAAATTCTTTTCTTTGGAAAAAAGTTGGATCCCAGTGGTCTTACGAATTTTTTTTCTATAGAAAAAAGATTGGGACCGCAGGGTCCCACAAATTTTTTTCTTTAGAAAAAATTGGAACCCAGCTTACCTAGAATATTTTTCTATAGAAAAAAGATTGGGACCGCAGGGGTTCCACGAATTTTTTTTTTCTATAGAAAAAAGATTGGCACCGCAGGGGTCCCTCGATTTTTTTCTATAGAAAAAAGATTGGCACCGCAGGGGTCCCACGAATTTTTTTCTGTAGAAAAAAGATTGGGACCCCAGGGGTCCCACGAATTTTTTTCTGTAGAAAAAAGATTGGGAACCCAGGGGTCCCAGGAATTTTTTTCTGTAGAAAAAAGATTGGGACCCCAGGGGTCCCACGAATTTTTTTCTGTAGAAAAAAGATTGGGATCCCAGGGGTCCCAGGAATTTTTTTCTATAGAAAAAAGATTGGGACGCAGGGGCGCCACGAATTTTTTTCTATAGAAAAAAGATTGGGATCCCAGGGGACCCACGAATTTGTTTCTATAGAAAAAAGATTGGGATCCCAGGGGTCCCACGAATTTTTTTCTATTGAAAAAACTTGGACCCCTGGGGTCCCACAGATTTTTGTTTTCTGTTGAGCTATCTTGGTAATGCCTCAAACTCACCCAATCCTGGTATCAGAATATTGCAAATGGCACAAAACCATGCCAGGCAAAGAGGTAGAACGGGTATGGCTCCCTTCATTTTCGATGTATATTCGACTAGGTCCACGTGGAGTTTGCGGCGTGTGTCCTGAAACACAATTCGAAAATTAATTTTGTTTAAGGATAGCCTTTTATACCTTACCTCAGGTGGTGGGGCCCTAATACTTTGCCTGCGACTATCCGAGACGGCCACCTTTTTCTTGCGGCAGCACAGCAAGAAATTGCAGAAACGTTTACAGCAGCCCCTGAAAAGAGAAATCCCATTATAACAGTACTTCCCCCTCTCTTTTCTCTCTCTCTCTCTCCCCCTCCAACTTACTGTTTCTCCACCACATCCTGACCCTCGAGCACGGCCGCATCCGTTGGTGTTATACCCGCCTCTGGATCCTGCCAGGCCACCGTTGACCCAGCCATTGAACCGGCCGCCGAGTGTTGACGTTTCCTACGACACGGTATACAGAAGCAACATTTCTTTACCTCGGTCTCATCACCGGTCTTTGGGTCGATTTTATTCACCGAACGACAGCAGAAAATTTTACTCAGACACAGACCACAGCGGCTCTGTTTGGGTGGTCCCATAGGTCGCAATGGGGGTGCCGGGGTTGGTTTCCTCACAAGATCCTTATCCTTTCCCTTCTTACCACAACAACTTTTGCAACAATTCAATTTTTGCCAACACGATGGCTTCTTTTGCGCGTCCTTTTCGTCGACTAACTGTAGATTGGTTGTGGTGGCACTACTGGTGGCAGAGAGAACTGGCTGAGTGGCCTCATCATGTTTAGCTTTGCGTTTGCGTTGACAGCAGCGGGAGCAGCGCGATCGACGACATGGCATACAGAATTTAGCACAACAGCGGCAACAGCCTCGCGGTGAGTCGTCTTCGTTGTCAAGGGATTTGTTTTCCAGATATTCCTGGCTGCCGGATCTGGAAAATACACCAAAAATTAAAAAAAATGAGACAAGGGAAAATACATTTTTTTTTAAAGAGAAACCAATTCGCAGGACCCTTGGGTCCAAGTTTTTTTTTTCGATAGAAAAAAATCGTGCGAAGTTTTGCTATGGAAAAAAATTCGTGGGACCCTTGGGTCCTAGTTTTTTCCGATAGAAAAAAAATTCGTGAGACCTTTGGGTCTTAGTTTTTTCCGATAGAAAAAAATTCGTGGGACCCTTGGGTCCAAGTTTTTTTTCGATAGAAAAAAATTGTGCGACCCTTCTATAGAATAAAAAATTGAGCGGGCTTTGGGTCTAAGTTTTTTCTACAAAAAAAAAACAAACATGGACCCCCTGGGGTCCAACTTGGGTCCAAGTTATTTTTTCGATAGAAAAAAATCGTGCGAAGTTTTTCTATGGAAAAAAATTCATGGGATCCTTTGGTCCAAGTTTTTTTCGATACAAAAAAATCGTGGGACCTTTGGGTCTTAGTTTTTTTCCGATAGAAAAAAATTCGTGGGACCCTTGGGTCCAAGTTTTTTTTCGATAGAAAAAAAATTGTGCGACCCTTCGATAGAATAAAAAATTGAGCGGCCTTTGGGTCTAAGTTTTTTCTACAAAAAAAAAACAAAACAAACGTGGACCCCCTGGGGTCCAAGTTCTTTTTTCGATAGAAAAAAATCGTGCGAAGTTTTTCTATGGAAAAAAAATTCATGGGACCCTTTGGTCCAAGTTTTTTTTTCGATACAAAAAAATCCTGGGACCTTAGGGTCCTAGTTTTTTCCGATAGAAAAAAATTCGTGGGACCCTTGGGTCCTAGTTTTTTCCGATAGAAAAAAAATTCGTGAGACCTTTGGGTCCTAGTTTTTTTTCCGATAGAAAAAAATTCGTGGGACCCCTGGGTCCAAGTTATTTTTCGATAGAAAAAAAATTGTGCGACCCTTCGATAGAATAAAAAATTGAGCGGCCTTTGGGTCTAAGTTTTTTCTACGAAAAAAAACAATCGTGGACCCCCTGGGGTCCAACTTTTTTGCTATTGGAAAAAAATTCGCCGGGACCTTGGGTCCAAGTTTTTTCTAAAGAAAAAAATTTGTCGGGACGATGGGTCCAAGTTTTTTCTATTACAAAAAACTTCGTCTTGACCTTGCGTGCAACTTTTTTCTATAGAAAAAACTTCATTTCCATTATTATTATTTCGTACCAAGAGACGTATGAGTAGCGACAATAAGTACACGCACCCCATTTTACTGATTTAATCTTCAATTTGTGTTGTTTTTGAAAATATCAAAATGATTTTTTTTTTTTAATAAAAATCATAACCATTTTCCAGTACAAAAATCTCATACTTCTGGGGAGCAGACGTGAGAAATTGTTTAAAGAAAAACCCCGGACTCTTGGAGTCACCGTGAAAATGTTTCGATTTTTTTTTGCAGAAAAAAAAAACTTTTTCCTTTTCCTTTGATCGTCGATATTTTTTCTATAGCACAGACATATTCTCTCCTATTCTTGTTTTTTGAATTTATGAATTTATTTCGGGGGGACCATAGTATGGGTGTTGTCAATATGTATACGCACCTTACCGTTTTTAAGCGACTATACAATTGTACCTTTTTTATTTTAATAATTTAGATTCTAAAAGATTGAAATTCTCATCATTAATATCAAATTTACATAATCACACTGGATCAGAGTTATAATGTAGGAAGCCGTTTCGGCAAGAATGCAAAATAGATATCCGCGATTTTTATCGATTAGATGACAGATTCCGGCTCCGGGGTATATTCATAGAGCATCGGGTCGATGTCCTTGATGGCCGACTCTACCCGATCGCACAGCATAACATAGATATACAAATGTAGCAGGATCCAAAAGTACAGGCCATTGCCAAAGATGTAGATGTATAGATCGATGTTGTAGCTGGGTATGTTCAGATATAGCAGCAGAACAGGGCCCAGCATGGAATTGGTGAGAAACGAGCACAGCAAAAAATGTTGAATGTAAAAATGTTGAATATTTATGAGACCAAATACTGTGGCCTGGGCGAAATCAAAATCATAAGATTCTATCATGTCATTATCTTCAGGGAAAAGAGAAGGATTTATCGATAGAGCAATTCAAACTACAACCCGAAGAGGAGTTCAGTATTTTCTACAGAAAAAAAGTCACAAGCAACCCCAGGTGTAATGCAGGATTTTTCCATAGAAAAATTCTAGAGACCAACCCCAGGAGGAGTGCAGGATTTGATAGGAAAATAAAAAAATGGGTGGCGTATACATACTGTCACAGCTCATAGGCCTATTGATACCCACAGCTGATACCTACCCCAGATTCATTAAAAAAAACAAGGAATTGAAAAATGAATTGGTGAATGGGTGCGTATACGTTATGTCAATACTCATGCGACCACTGGTACACAAATAAGTAATTTGTTTATATCTTTGTTTTTTTTTTACTGGGGTTAATGCAGGCCACACATAATTTGATGGCCCTACACGATAAGTAGCTCTGTTGTCTTTTAGGCAGGAACGACACATTTCCTGTATAAACTTCTTCGGTATTGCAATTTTTTTTTTTCGTACACATCCCAATTATCCACAGGAAAGAAATGCTCACAACGAGTCTAGGAAGAGAGAAGGATTTATCGATAGAGCAATTCAAACTACAACCCGAAGAGGTGTTCAGTATTTTCTACAGAAAAATTGTCACAAGCAACCCCAGGAGTAGTGCAGGATTTTTCCATAGAAAAATTCTAGAGACCAACCCCAGGAGGAGTGCAGGATTTGATAGGAAAATAAGGAAAAAATGAGTGGCGTATACATACTGTCACAGCTCATAGGCCTATTGATACCCACAGCTGGTACCTACCCCAGATTCATTAAAAAAACCAAGGAATTGAAAAATGAATTGGTGAATGGGTGCGTATACGTTATGTCAATACTCATGCGACCACTGGTACACAAATAAGTAATTTGTTTATATCTTTGTTTTTTTTTTTACTGGGGTTAATGCAGGCCACACATAATTTGATGGCCCTACACGATAAGTAGCTCTGTTGTCTTTTAGGCAGGAAGGACACATTTCCTGTATAAACTTCATCGGTATTGCTATTTTTTTTTCGTACACATCCCAATTATCCACAAAATGTTACGGACATTAAAACATCTCGCCTTCTACGCAATGATGTGGACTAGCTACATCAATTTCATCAATGGCTGGTGGTTGAATTTGGATAAACGCCAGGTGAAAAGACTCAAGCTTAGCATTAGAATACTGATGTGGTTGCCCACAGTTTTCATGCTATTGGCCCTACCCTATGGCACTCTGTTGGCCATGTCTCGTGATCGCCTCTATGCCACAAATCCCGTGGCCATTTATGCCAACTATACTGTGATTATGGCCAGGACTTTGCTCTATTATATTTATGCCTGGACATGGAATCGAAGGGATCAGCAGGTGCTTCAATGGCTGGAAAAAATGTTGCGACTGCAAAGAGAATATTTTGACTGGCACCAGGCAATTAAGCGCTCGCTACGTCCGTGGCTGTATGTCAATTGTCTACTGACCATGGTCCACATGTGGGGTATTTCGTTTGGTATCTTCTCCGATGATATTGAGGAAGTTGGACGTGACCAATGGGTATCCTATCCATTGTATGTCATGATTGTGGTGCAACATTTCCATATGCTCTATCATGGCGGGTTCCTGTGCTGGCTGCAGGAATATTTTTCCATTATAAATCAGCAAATTTCAGAACAGAAATTAAATCCCCAACTGAATTTGATCTATTGGCAGTTGCATGGCATGAAAGAGGAATTGACGGACATATATTGTCCTGTCATGTTGTTCATAATTTTCTCTCTTCTCATCTCCAATTCCATGGTTGGCTATATTACGCTGATGAAACTAATGTTACCCGAATTGCATACGCAAAGTTATGCCTATCATTTTGGCAATCTCTTCTATATACTACTGATCATTCATTGGTATAGCTACTTTACAATTGGCCAGCGTATGGAGGAGACAATAAGGGATACGGAATTGTTACTCTATGATTATGTCACAGAGCCCTGGTTGTGTGCAGACACTTATGAGAGGGAGGTACAAGCCCCTTTGGATTTATGTAATTTTTTTTAAGAAGTGATTTTGAAAATTATTTCTATTTCTATTTCCAGTTGGAAATGCTAATTATGAGCCGAAGTCTGAACACCGCCGAAGTTCAAATAGTTGGCATAAATCTAAACTGGAGTTCGCTGTTTGCTATATTGGCCCAAACTGTGTCGTATATTATAACCCTTATACAATTGGATTATGTTAATTTAATATGAACTTAGGGGGAAATATATTTTCGTGGGATGTGAAAAATATAATTTTGTCAACTGTGGCCTAAGGAGAAGCATTTAAAATATTAAAAATCAAATAAATGGAGATGGGGTGCGTATACGTGCCGGCAACACTCATACGCACCGTGGGTCCCTGAAATCGATTTTCACTTTAATATGTATTATTTGAAATTTAAAAAAAAAATATTTTTTTTTTCGAGATATAGCCCCTGGTAGACCATTTCAAATGCTAAAAATTAAATAAAGGGCGATAGGTTCCGGAGTTCGCTGTTTGCCATATTGGCCCAAACTGTGTCGTATATTATAACCCTTATACGATTGGATTATGTTAATTTAATATGAATTAAGGGAAAATATATTTTCGTGGGATGTGAGAAATGTAATTTTGTCAACTGTGGCCTAAGGAGAAGCATTTAAAAGATTAAAAATCAAATAAATGGAGATTGGGTGCGTATACGTGCCGGCAACACTCATACGCACCGTGGGTCCCTGAAATCGATTTTCACTTTAATATGTATTATTTGGAAAGATATTTCCTTGAAATTTGAATAAATATTTTTTTTTCGAGATATAGCCCCTGGTAGACCATTTCAAATGCTAAAAATTAAATAAAGGGCGAAAGGTTCCGGAGTTCGCTGTTTGCCATATTGGCCCA